TTACACTGTTAACCATCCTCTCATCCTTGACATTCTCTCCTCCTTGTGTTTCTTGGCATTCTTCTTCCCTTTCACCTCTCCGAGTCTTCCTACTCAGTCTCTTTGATGGAGTCATATCCTCTGGGATTGCTGTGAATAGCCCCTCCAGGGCTCTGTTCTAACCCCTCTTCTCTTTATTGCTTTTTCTATACTCTCCTGCGGTGACCTCATCAGCTCTCATGGGTTCAACTATTGTCTCTAAACAGATGACACCCAAGTCCTGTTGACTCAATTCTCCTTTGTGAAGTCTTGCATTTCCAATCACTTCCTGAACATTTCTACCTGGATATTTCCCAAGCATCTCTAACTCAGTCTATATCAACCAGAACTCATTCTTTTCTCTCGTAATTCCCTGTCTCTGCCTAAATTCCCTCTTTCTGTTAGGAGCACTGCCATTCCGCTGGCCATCCAGGGTTATGACCTAGGATCAGGCTGAACTCTTCATTCTCCCGTACCGCCTCCATTTATTCCACTGACAAGTCTTATTGATTTGACTTCCCTGGCTCTCAGGTCCATGGCCTTTTCTCCATTCATTGAGCCCCCATCCTAATTCAAGCCTTTATCGCAGCTTTCCCAGACCATAGCAATAGCTCTTAATTGATCTTTCCACTGGTTCCCCTCTCTCTAATCCATCCTCCACATAGCTTCCATATTGACATTCCTAGAGGGGAAGGGGGAAGGAAGTAAGCATTTACATAGAGCCTGCTGTGTGCCAGATACCATGCTAAGTGCTTTACAGATATTCTCTCATTTGATCCTGAAAAACAAGTCTGTGAGGCAGGTGCTATCATTACTCCCATTTCACAGTTGAGGAAACTGAGGCAGACAGAGGTTAAGTGACTTGTTCAGGGGCATGCAAGATAGTGTCTGAGGCCAAATTTGAACTCAAGTCTTCCTGACTCTGGGCTCCATTGCACTACCTAACTGCCTTTTAAGCCTAGGTCTGACCATGTATGCTACTTCTCTACTCAAGAAGAGTCCTCCAGACAAAACCCCCTCCCTTCAGACATCCAAAGGTCTTCAGAATCTGACTTTTATCCACTTTTCCAGGTTTGTCACCCATGACTTCCCCGCCACGCTCACCCTCTGGTCAAACCGGCCTCTTCACCAGCCCCTGACGTGACATTCCATCACCTGACTAATTTCGCCCTCTTTTGTCCTCTGTTAGACTTTCTAGAGGCCCCAGCAACCCCTAAGCCTCAACATCAATGCTCTCCTCTACAAGAATCTTTTCCTGATTCCTGCAGTTGTCAGAACTTTCCCCCAGAAATTACTTTGGTAATTTCTTTTCTGTATGTTTTGCATTTATTTATATGTGAATATGATGCTTCCTCCAATAAAACAGAAGTCTCTTGAGGGCAGAGATGATTTCATTTTTATGTTGGATCTGGGAGCATAGTTGTTGCTGGTAATAGCGTTAAAGACTATAAATATGTTGAGAAACAGAGAGAGTGTGGGTGGTAAGGACTTGGCTCTGGGTGAAGGACAGCTGCATCTCTAGGGTTGGGTTCTCATTTAGAAATCACTTTACAATCTATTAGATAGTAAACTCCTTGAGGGCAGGGACTATCTTTTGTATCCACAAGGACTCAGCACTTAGCACAGTGCCTGGCACACAGTAGGTACTCAATAAATGTTTATGGGACTGAATTGAATGGAACTTTGCCATAGAACCCTGCATCTGATGGAACATTTTGTGGATTGCTGCTATTACAGCACAGTGCCACCTGGCTTGATCTTTCTATAGTGTATTTAGGAAACAAATCTGTTTCATTAGCAACATATTACTTTAAATAAGGAAACTTTCCAGATCTAGTTCTATCCCCTCATTTTACAAAAGAATCACTGAGATTAAAGAGATTAAAGGACTAGCCCAGAGTCACACAGCTGATCAGTAGGCATCTAGGGAAACGAGCCTTATTGAAAAGCATGCATTTAGATGCACTTCTGGCATGGGGGGGGCACTGGGATACTGAGGCCCCAGAGTATTTCTGCTCATTGGTGCTGGGTGAATTCTTATTGATTACTTTAGGGGCAACATGCAACCCTATTAACATGATGGGATACAGATGGACTTTATCATAGAAAGAGAGTAACATGTCATGAATTGAAGTCTACTCATTAGGAATTTGTGACCAGTTGAGCAGGGTCTGAGTCAGAGCTTAGCTTTCTATGGTCCATAACAAAAGGGTTCAAAAAACAAATGAACGACATAAACAAACCCATGACAAAGCCAGAACGTTTAATCTAGCTAAGTGAATAAGCAACTGGTAAGCCCTTGAGAAGTATCTTTGAACACACAATTGACCCAAAAGTTCTAGAGCATGCTTATTTATTCATTACAAGAGATCCTTACAGATCTTTACTAGGCAGTGCTTTGTTATAGCTATCGCTGATTGAACAATATACATGAAAGCCATAAAACTGAAGATTACAGGATTTTAAACTAGGAAGGGTTTTTAAACTAGATGGCTCAGTGAATAAAATACTAGGCTTGGAGTCAGGAAGACCTGAGTTCAAATCCCGACTCAGACACTCACTAGCTGTATGACCCTGGGCAAGTCACTTCACCCTGTTTGCCTCAGTTTTCTCATCTGTAAATGAGCTGGAGAAGGAAATGGCAAACCACTCCAGCAGTTTTTGCCAAGAAAATCCCAAAAGGGGTCACAAAGAATTGGATATGACTGAAAACCAACTAAAACCAACTAAAACCAAACCAAAAAAACCCAACTACACAACAACAGCAATGCAATCCTCTCACTGTATGGATACGAAACTGAGGCCCAGAGAAGGAACTAATTGTTGCTGAATTCTAGTGCCTCTCCAGCTCCAACCTAGTCTTAAGGGTGTTAGTTGCTCCACAAGGAGACATCTCACCTCCCTAAGAATCTTCTCAAACCTGAATTGCCCAAGGTTACCCAGACAGGAAGTGGAAGAGCCAGAATTTGAATCCAGGTCTTCTGTCTCTGAATCCCCTGTTCTTTTCGCTGTGCTTACTTTCCTCCCCGGCATCCTGTAACTCCTCATTAGTGGGGTTCTCTCTATTCCATACACTTTGATGGCCCTGGAGTCATGTCACAATGTTATTGGTTAAATAGACCTTCACAGCCATCTTGCTCGATGTATTAATAATAATAATAGCTGGCATTTATATAGTGCTTTAAAGTTTGAAAAGTGCTATATATATTATCTTATTTGAGCCTCACAATAACTCTGCAAGGTAGGTGCTATTATCACCCCATTTTACAGATGGGGAAACTGAGGCTGAGAAGTTAAGTGATTTGCCCAGGAGCCCACAGCCAATAAATGTCAAGGCACAATTTGAACTTAGTTCTTCCCGTCTCCACACCCAGCACCCTAAGCACTGCATCACCTAAGTGCCTCAGATTCTAGTAAATGGGTCCTATTGCTAGAATCTTGGGCATTCACAGAAAACAGCATGAGCTGAAATGGTTAAAAAAGGTAACTCTTTAAGCTTGTAATTTTCCACATAAAATGAGGAGGTGGACTCGATGCTGTCTAACGTTCTTCTGGCTCTCACATTTTGTGTTCTCATGTCTCTTTCAACTCTTACATTCCAGAATATGTGTTCCAAGGTCCCTTCCAGTCATTTGGTCAGTTGACAAGCCTTCATTAAGACATTGCTATGTGCCAGGCGCTGTGCTAATTGCTGGTTATATAAATAAAGACAAAACCCAAGGCTCCCTGCCACTAAGGAGCTCTCATACTAGTGGGGGAGACAACGTAAAAGTGTACATATAAGATATACAGAGCATAAGCAAAATATAATATCAAGCTATAGGCAATGGGTGGGTAGGGAGCAGGAAAGGCCTCCTGAAGAACACAAGGTTTGAGCTGAACTTGAAGTAAACTATGAAAGTCAGGAGCAGAGATGATGGGGGAGACATGGGGGAAAGTCAGTGAAAAGACAAGAAATCATGTAATGAAGTGTCATTTTTGAAGCACAGCTAGTGTGCTGGTGTGGTGGCATCTTAGAGTATGGGAGGAGAGTAAAGTGGAAGAAAATTGAAAGGAGACTGCAGGTTGGGAAGGTCTTCAAATGCCTAACACATGATTTTCCATTTGATCCTGGAGGTAATAGGGGGTCATTAGAGTTTATAGAATGGGACGAGGTTGACATGATCAGGCTTGCACTTTGGAAAGATTACTTAGCAGCTGAGTAGAGGATGAGAAGAAGCTTGAGGTAGAGAGATCAAGCAGAAGGCTAGTGTGTTCAGGGATAAGGTGATGAGGACCTGCACCAGAACAGCAGCTATGTGAGCAAAGAGAAGAGGATTTATATGAGACATGTTGTGAAGGTAGAATTGACCAAATTTGGCAACAGATTGGGTGTGTAGGGTGAATGCAAGTGTGGGGTTGAGGATAATGCAAGGTTATGAGCCTGGGAAAGGTGGTGCCCACAAAAACAATATGGAGGTTCAGAATAAGGGAGAGTTTGAGAAAGAAGAATAATTAGTTCTGTTTTGGACTTGTTGTTTTAAATGCCCAGGAAGCAGCAAGTGATGAAAGACTGGAGCTCAGTTGAGAGGTTAGGATTGGATGTATAGATCTGGGAATCATCTGTATGGAACTGACACTAGACTCAATAGGAACTGATAAGATCACCAAGTATGGTAATACGAAGGGAAAAATGAAGACCTGGGAGAGAGGATTAGGTGGACAGCCAGAGTTAATGGACATGACTTGGAAGAAGATCCAGCAAAGGAGCCTGAGAAGGAATAGTTAGACAGAAAGGAGAAGAGTTAGGAGAGAAGAATGCTAGGAAAACCTAGAGAGGAGGGAGCAGCCAGGAGGAGAGGGTGATCCACATTGTCTGAAGCTACAGAGAGATCAAGCAGGATGAGGAATGAGACAATCCTCCCAGCTCTGACGTTCTATAACTTGTGATTTTCTGACCACACTTTTATCCATCATTTAAACAGTAGCAACCACTGGACCTCTGGAGGTTTTGGTTTAATAAGCACAAATGCGCACACACACACATCACACCCATGGGAATTTCAAAACATGGGTTGGCTGGCCCACTTAACAATTGATTGACACATTGTTCATAGATTATGCTAATCTATTCATTAGAATAGGTCCCTTAGAAAATACCTCAGTAGCATATTTCCATCTGAACTATGTATTTGAACCATGCATTTGAAAATTGCTCTCTCTTCTTGGAATATCTTTTCTCTTTCATTTTTCATCTGATGATTCTTACCTATCCTTTAAAGCCTGATACCTTCTTTGGAAATGTTTCTCTGATGCCCAGTTAGTATTGACCTTTCCCCTTCAGACTTCGCATAGACCAGTTTCTATTGTACTTATCATGTGTAATAGTGCGTTATGATTGTTTTGTGTTACATGCTTCAATTAGACTATAAGCTCCATTGAGGCTTGAACTATATTATTTCTAAATCTTCCATCTTTCACAATGCCTAGCATAGTGCTCTGAATACAAAAGGTGATTAATAGATGGTTGTTGATTTTGATTTGTTGACAAAAGCAATAGCACTTCGGATCATAGAGATACATGGGTGTGCTATTTTTCACATATTTTTAAAAACAGGCCTCTTGTTATATTTAATGACCAAAAAGGATCAAAAGTGATCATGTTCCATTTTTAATAATGAAAAATCCACATGTTTAAAATATTCTCCGGCATGCCTAGCTTGGCAAATACCATTGACCTTCATATTATTTCTCTGGACTCACTCATGAACTAGCCAGCACTTTGGTGCTGGACAGCTCCCTTTGGCACGGTAATGCAATAATTTATTAAAACTCCAACAGTTAATTAACGAGGGTGCACAAATATCATGCAAACATTGAAGCTGTGCTCACAAACAAAACGTGCATCATGGACAAAGAGTATACCAAAAAATCTTGGAGACAGGAAGGGGGATGGAATGTTCAATAATTTCTGTACAAAAACGCAGGGTGCTTTTTTTGTGGGGGATAATCTGTAAAAGATGCATCATAACGTCTGGCATTTTCAAAAAGAGAAAACTGTATAAAAATAAATATCCTATGTACAAACACACACACAGGCCAATCCAAGGTTAGGGCCATCACTGCAAGAGAAAACATAGATGCAGGTTAGTTTCAATGTCAAGTCCTCAGCTTATTTCAAATATGGGTAAGGCTGGGATCCCATTTTATGATGGGAAGAAGACTCAGACTGATTTCTTGTTAGACAACAGGCTTCCCTAGGACCAGGACTCCCAGGATCCTTAATATCCTTTGGCTGCCCCCCTCTGCCTCCATACAAAGCTCTGGACATAATACAAGTTCTTGTGACTCTCTAGCTAAGACTTAGAACAGTTAGTTGTTCCACAAGGGCAGATCTTATCTCCCCCAGATCTTTTGACCCCTGGAAATGGACTTGTCTCCCCCACACCCTAGCGAGAGTCCCAACCAAACTGGTTAACCCCATTCTCCAGCCATGAGAGGCAATCTTAGGAGCCTCTATCAGAAGGCAATGTGGATGCTTGCCTTACACCATCCATCTTTTAGTGGGCACAACTAAATCTAAGATGTTGAAGATAATAGCCCCAGGCACAACCTGCCCTGGGCTCCCTTTCCTTTTAAAATTCAGCTCAAATATCACCCTTTCCAGGGCACCTTCTTTCAGCCACCTAGGTCTTAGTCCTAGGAGTTCATTGATAATTGTTGCAACTCTAGAATGCATTTGTCATAGATGATTGTGTGTTATAGTTATCTTGCAGTGGAGATTGGGACACAGACCAGACCTGTGATTCCTTTCATAGAGGGAACTTCTGGGGGCAGGAACTTGTTTTTCCAAAGGAGGCTGGAACTTTCTCTGTATCTTTTAGTACTTGAGAGCTGCTTACTCAGTCGGTTGGTTGACAAGCATTTATTAAGCTCTTACTATGTGCCAGGCAATGTACCAAGAGCTGGAGATACAAAGAAATGCAAAAACGTGGTGCTTGGAACACTCAGAGGTGTAGTGACTTACCCAGGGTCACAAAGCCAGTATATGTCAGATGCAAGATTTGAATCCAGGTCTTTCTGGCTCTAAAGCCAGCTCTACACACTACACTTTGCTGTTTCTATTTGTTCAAAGTTAGTTATTATTGCTCTCTCCTTTAATGAGGAGGTAAGCTCTTGGAGAGCAAGGTCTAGAGCATATCTTTGAATCCCCAGCACCTAACACAGTACCTCCCACATGGCAGCTATTTAATAAATGCTTTTTGTTGAATTAATTAATATGCTTGTTTCCTATCCCTCTACTAGACTGTAGTCTCTTTGAAAACAGGGGTCATGTCTTGGTTTTTGTTTTGGCAAGGCAATTGGGGTTGAGCAACTTGCCCAGGGTCACACAGCTAGTAAATATTATGTGTCTGAGGCTAGATTTGAACTTAGGTTCTCCTGACTCCAGGGTCGGTGCCTTATCCACTGTGTCACCTAGCTTCCCCTGGGGCCAAGTCTTAAGTACATTTTATACCTCCTCTAACACCTAGCAGCTCATCTGTACACAGTTGGGGCTCAGTGAATGTTTGTTGGATCATTGATTACTCCTGGTTGGGGGAGGTGAGGGAATTTAGCAGCTGTGGCTGAAAGCCCTGGCCACTGTGTCCTCAGGCTTGGCATCCTGAGATTAGCCTGAAGTAGACTTATTCCCACCTGACCTAGGAATGATGGTGACCAAGATGAACTTCTGAAATCCTTGGGAACAAGGACTCCCTCTTTTTATTCTTTGACTTGGCCATCATGGAGACTGGGTTGTCAATTTAGATTTTTATCAAAATGGGCTACATTGAAATATTTTTGTCTGAAGCTATCACCTCACTGGGGGATGTGGGAAGAACAATGACTGTGATGACCTTGAGTGGATTGTTGTGTAGGGGTGAAGAGATGGCAAATGGCTGCCCCATGAACTGTGAGCAAGGGTTGTCCCAGTCACCCCTGCCCAGAACTCCTTCCCCCTGTGAGAAATGCCTCTGAATCAGAGGAAGCAGACTGGAGCAGAGCCTGCTGACCTCAGAATTAGAATTACCGTGGTATAGTGGAAGGAGCACTGATATTGGAGGCAGAGGGCCTGGGTTTGAATTCTAGTTCTTCTACTCATTGGCTGTCTGGTCTGGGGCAAGGAAGTTTACCATTCTAGACTGAGTTTCTCTCCTCTGTGAAAATGAGGAAGTTGGATCAGGGGATCTCAGAGATCTTATATAACTGTAAATTCTAGTTAATCGCTGTCCATGGGTTAGGGAACACTCCACAAGCAGAGTGACTCCCATTTCTTTTGCAATAAACAGTTCACAACAGTCCAGAGAGAGATTTTTTTGGGGTGAGAATTATTATTCCTTTTTTACAGATGAGAAAACTGAGGCTGACTTGATATACCTATGCTCATACAGTTTCAGAGCAAAGATTTGAACTCACTTCTTTCCTGACTCTAATCTCACTTAAAATCTACTTGCCAAGGGCTAAGGCTTATTATAATTTGAGTAGTAACTGCCAGAAGAGGTAGAATGGTCTAAGTGACCTTTCATGGTACTCTGAAGATTAACAGTTAATTCAAAACCAATTTATAAGTATCTCTCAGAACTCCTTGGAGAAAAAGTGCAGCGTGGAATAGATGAACCTTAGTGGTGTGGGAACCACACGAATTAGAGCTACCTGGATGCCAAATAAGGAGTCATCTAAAAATATATCTTGAAATGCTTGCTGGGTAGTATAAAGGGGAAAGGAGGGGTTTGAGAAGAACATATTTATCTGGAAATGAAGGTGATGTAAAAACAGGACATAAGAGTAAGAATGAAAAAGAATGCATCCTGAGTGCTTGAGGAATAGTAACAATGAATGGTGGGTGGCCCTTCTGCTGAGCTGGGTTTGCTTATATGTCTATAGAATGTGTACAGGGATATGTGTGTGTGTGTGTGTGTGTGTGTGTGTGTGTGTGTGTGTGTGTTCACTGTTGGGAAGACATCTCCAAGTACACCTATCCCACCAATGCACTGCAGGCCCTCAGGAAACCCTACCTTATTCCAGCAGCCCTGGACTGGCAAGCCATCTTCCCCCTGTAATGGAGAAGGACAAAAGTAGGGCTCAGACTCTTAGGCAAGTAGGAAAAGTTTAATAACCTTGGGCACCTGCAACCTATATTTGAGGCTGATTAGGATGAGACTAAACAACATTTTGCTTTACTTCTTTTCTCGATTGCTTGCTTAAAGGTGGATGTTCCAGGTAGTTTGGTCTCCTGGGTTTGGCGCGAGCCTAGGGCTTCTGTGTGGAAGAGGGGATTTGGGCACCCTAAATGAAAGATCTAGGAAGTGACTTTAAGTTATTCTGCATCCCTTGGCAACCCATCCACAGATCTGGCCAGATTCTACAAAGGACATGATGGCCAGCCTCAGGTCTCTCTTGGGATGGGAGTCCCTTAAAGGATGGGATCAGTTGGGTGGGAGCCATTAGTTCTGATCAATTTCACTCAAATGCAATTAGCGGAACCTAGTGTTCAATGCTTCTCTTTGAGTTAGTGGTGGACCTTCGTTAATAGGTTTTATAAGGGTGGAAAGCTCCAGGATTAGGTATCTTATTATCCTAATAATGACAATGACCATTTTAAATTTAAATGTAATTATTTTTATTTAACAAAATTTATTTTTCTTTCTCTTACCTTTTCTATTGTTTTTAAATTTAATATGTTCAACAAACAAAAATCTTTTTTCTCACCCTCCCACCTCCCCATCTGCAAATAAAACAAAACCCTCATAACAAATATGCATAATCAAACAAAACAAATTCCTACACTGTCCGAAAAATATGTTTCATTTTGCATCTTGAGTCCAACCCCTCTCTGTCAAGAGGTGGGTAGCATGCTTCAGATGATAATTATAATTTTAAAAACCCACGACAAGAACAACAAATATGAAAGCACTAAAAACAGCAAAGGGGAAAGGCAACATTTCTACGGGATGTTATTAGGGGGAAACACCTCTTTGTGATAACATTTTCTCAATTTGATTTGTTTTTGAGGGAGGAGGAAGAAGGAGAAGATCGAGCATAGTTGTTTCTCGGAATCATCCTCACTACCCTTTGATAGGTAGGGTTTCAGAAACAACATGAACTCGGACTCTTCCACAGGAAAAGGAGCCACCACTGGCCAGAGTGGCGTTCCCATTGGTACCCCAGTGATGGGAGGAGTGATGTGATGTAGAGCTCAGGACGGAGCGAAATGAAATGTTAGGTGTGTGGACAGGAGCAAGGGGGTCAGGGAGTTCTGACTTGCAGATCCAAAGATGACCTGGGGAGTCATAGGAACAGTTTGTGGCAGGTAAGTTTGGCAGAGGAAAGGGCCCTTGCTGGTTATTGATGGGGGCTTGTGGGAGAGATGGAAGAATTCCCTATGGAGAAATGTTAGTTGGCATGCTGCATGCTCAGGGTTTAGCAGAATGGGAGATCTGAGAAGAGGCTCGTGCTCACTCAGCTCCCCAGCCCAAAAGGTTTCCGAACTCTCATAGCAGTGACTTCACACATGGGCTCTAAGAAACATGCCCTGTAAAAGTATCATTGGTACCCCTCTCCCATTCTTGACAATCCTCTCCCTCTGAAGATGTCTCCCATCTGAAGCTGATCACACAGGATGGTGTCTGCATATATATGTGTATATATGTGGAGGGCAGGGGATGGTGAAATGGAATGAGACTGGGCCAGTCAAAGGTCCTAATCCAGGCTTATTGAACTAGGTGGAATGAAAAGACCATCAAAGCCTCCATGCCTACTCATGGCATTGAGAAAGAGGTAGGAGCTTCCTTGGCACAGCCATAGTTAGGTGCAGAAGGTGAATATTAATAATATTAACAGTAATAGTAATAGCTTACTACTATGGCCAGGCATCGTGCTAAGCACATCGCATTTGAGCCTCACGAGGACCCTGAGAAGTGCTATTATTATCCTCATTTGACAGTGAGGAAACTGAGGCAGAGGTTAAGTGACTTGCCCAGGGTCACACAGCTAGTGTCTGAATACAGATTTGAACTCAGGTCTTCCTAACTGTAAGCTTGTTCCATCACCTAGCTGTCTGGAGAAACAACTTGTCAGAATGGGGAGAATACAATATACTCTCTTTTAACCTGTCCTAAAATCTCCTTTATTGCTTTCTTCTTTCCTTTCTTATCTCTCTTAACTATTCTCTGTAGCTTCGTTCTTCCCCTGGTACTACCGCCAAGGGTATTCAATGGTGAATCAAATTCTTCAAAGGGAAGGCAATCTGAGGACAAGGGGAGAGGCTCTTGACTTCAGTCAAACAGGATGGACCCCTTTTTGTTATCTCAGACTAGAGTATTTCTAACTGGCTGGCCTGTTCCTAGATTTTGGAGAACAAGTTAGCACCAGATAGCGGTATAATCAAGGCAAGGGTGATTGGCACCGATTGTCTCAGGCACAATCTGGAAGAAGGTGCAGGGCTGTAGGAACTCTCAAGGTATTCCATAGCCCCACAGGAGAGACTGAGCTTGAAGAATTATTCTGGGGACACAGGGGAGGGTCAGAAATCAGAGAGGCAGTGTGGGGAGAGGAGAATGCGAATTGTACTTGGAGCCAGGAGACCCAGCCCCAACTCTTCTGCTTTCTAGCTGTGTGACTTTTGGCAAATAATGTAACCTCTCTGAGCCCTGGGTTCCTCATCTGTAAAATAGGGGCAATAAAACTTGCCTTCCTTAACTCTCAGAGTGTCCATAAGAGAAACATTTTGTAAACCTTAAAGTGCCATGGAAATGTGAGTTATTATTAGGATGAACCCAAGTGAGAGTAGAGAAATAATCTCAACTATTAGAAGTAGGACACAAGGGCATAGTGGAAAAGAGCATTGGCCTTTGAGTCAGAGGACATGCATTCAAATGCCACCTCTGATGCTTACTACTTGAGTGATGTTGGATAAGTTACTTAACTTCTCTGGGCCTCAGTTTCCTCATCTGTAAAATGAAGGTATTAGACTAGATGGCACTTGATGTCTCTTCCTCCTCTGGACCTATGATCCTATAATTTTAATTCACTTAACCTCTCTGGGGCTCAGTTTCCTCATCTGTAAAATGAGGGGTTTGGATGAGATAGTCTTTAAAGTCCCTTCTAGCACTATGCCCATGGTCCATTGATTCTATGGACTTGCCCAGTATGGCAAATTTTGTAGTCCTGTTGCAATGTCCGGAAGTTAACTGGCTTATAGTCAAGGTTTACATTTATTATTCTTCCAGTGAAGGGTGTGGGTGGGAAGGGGAAGAATGTCCAGTGTTAATTCACAATTTCAGGTTACATGGTCCATAAGAGAAAGCCAAAGGAAGACAAGGAAAGGCTAAATATCCATTAGAGAGGCAGATCCAAGCAATAAGAGCCACATGTCTGGGGTTGTTAGAAAGCAGGCAATGACAGATGGAGGGAGGAGGCATGCAGGAGGAAGGTCCATGAAAGCCAAGAGAAACCAAGCAGGAAAGGGAAGGTAATGCCATACCAATGGGCACGGGGCATCCAGTCCGTCCAGCCCTGGTAACCCCGGCTCCCCCTTCTCTCCTTTAAAACCTCGATGTCCCTGTTCACAAAATCAACCACGATGATTATTTGGGTCAGAGATGGCCAGCTCCATCCCAACGTAGGAGAGGCCTCGTCCTTCCCTGGCCAGGACATAAGACACTAGAGATGCCACATCCAGGAGCCATGATTTGTGGGCAGATCTCCCCAACATAACTATGACTGGTCCTTTGCTTATTGAGGAATTCAGTGTCTAAGCCCTGGGAAAGTAGGCTCAGGAAAGGTCTTGATTTCTCTCTTCATCTTTACTCCCATCATGGATAAACATGGTCCAATATCTTAACAGAATTTTAGTGAAAAATTATAATTACAATTAGATTAGAAGTCCCTTAAGGGCAAGACTGCATGGTTTTGTAATCTTTATATGCCTAGAGTCTTGCACACAGTAGATAACTTAGAAACTGTTCATTGAATTGGATTGAAGAGTATCTTGATACAGGGTGGAGAAAGCTTTTAAGCTCCACAAATTGTTCACTGATTGACTGATCGATTTGGGGGACTCCTGATAAACATTGGCCTGTTTTTTCTAATAGTCACAAAAGACCTTTCCCCTTTAAGAATCTTGGTCTCTATTGCCAACTCTTTGGGTGCTGAGACTATCCTTGCTGTAGGCAGAAGGAAGCAGGCTGAATGAAGTAACTCCCTGGCTGGCTTTTGTCCTAGCAAGGCTTGAGACAGATCATCTACCTGGGGAGCTGAACCCTAGTGTCCTGTGTATCCAGACCAAGTGAGGACCCAGATTGTTGGTAGTTGATTGGAGGTGGTAAAGAAACAAAGAAGGATAACTCCATCGTTGGCAGCTGTTACTTGGGCTCCCAAAGTCAGTCCCAGCTGAAAGCATGGGCCTCCTCTTGGCCAATCCCTTTCCTCCTGGCTTCCTCCCCTCTAGCACTTTATTTATGAAGCTGCTGAAAAGAAAGGGATTTTAACCAGAATTTTGTATGCTGTGGCTTTGAGCCCAAACCAACAGCAACCAGAATTCCTCTAGCCCTTAGCATAACAGAGGAACTTTGGCATCAGAGCTGTGATAAATCATTTCACCTTTTAAGCTGAGTTTTCCTTCTTTCTTCCCAATTTGTGAACCTCAAGGAAAAAACAAACAAACAAACAAGAAACCACAAATACAAGCGATTAAATTAGAACATACCAATGGACAGGGGGCATCTAATCCAGGCGCTCCTTGGTCTCCCTTATCCCCTTTAGGCCCCCTAGAGCCTTTCTTCCCCCTCTCCCCCTGTAAATAATGGTTCAGGCCAAGAAAAAAAATAATATCAAAGCTTTAGGATCATCCATTGTATCAAAGTTAGAGACAGAAAGATACAAAATAAAACAAAAAACCAGAAAAAATAAAAAAAATAGACCCTCCTAATTAATATAGTTTCTGTAGGGATGTAGATATCAACTCCAGGCATCTGCAAGTGTATAGGGTGTGTGTGTGTGTGTGTGTGTGTGTGTGTGTGTGGTTTTGTCCCTAAAGGGAGGGGCTGTCCAAGGTCGATCTTGCCATTCTCTTTGCTGGGTTCGTATAGCACATTCTAAGGGGTAAGATTGGCCATGGAGCCACTTCTTTCTGGGGTGTCTGGATCCTGTAATGCTTCATCTGATGGCAATTTACCCTCAACCAGCTCTTACTTTTACTAGTGGCTAGTCATTTCCTAGTGATGTTTGACTCAGGATACTCTTGCAACTGGGCTCGTATTTCCCAACATGGGTGGGGGTGAAGGGGGAGCACTCAGACTGAGGGTGGAGATTGATCATAGGTAATCAATGAAAGGGATAAAACATGGAGCAGCTAAGGGGTAACTACATGTCAAACTCTTGCTTTTAATAAAGGAGCTAGGAGGTCTTAACTTCTATAGAAAGAGGAAATCATCTTAGAACTAGGGGTATTTTAAAGACCCATTTACAGAAAATAGAAAATTTCCCAACTCACCTCCTCCCAAACCCTCAGAGTTACATAAAATGAGATGAAAGAGGATTGGTCAAAGAGAGGGTTTTATTCAGCATGTGGCAGGGTTAGAAGGTACAAATAAAATCAAGCAACAGAGATGTCTAAAAAAAGTGGAAAATAAAAGAGTTTAGATAAAATAAACTCAAAATTGGAAAAAGAATGGATGGGAAAGGGATATGGCTGGGAGAAATTGTCTACAGGGAAAAAAAATCTCCAGGGATGTAGAGGGAAGAGGAAGGAAGATTCAGGCTAAAAAAAAAAAAGGCAGCAGGGACAGAGGTAAGGGAACAAGAGAGCCTGTAGAAATAAGAACCAAACACTCAGCACATGTTCCACATGCCAGATGGAGCATTTCGGAAAGTGACTGGCTTAGCTTGGAGAGATGACCATCTGACTTTTTCTGTTGGGTGATTCAAAGGCTACACCATGGCTTCTACACCAGTGTGTTTGCCACCACCATTTTTAGGCAGAAGATGTTATTCCTTTCTCAGACGTTTCCCAAACTAAAAACTGCATGTGGGCCAAATTCCTAGAGAACTTCTGGGTAGAGAAGACAGATGATGTTGATACAATTGCAATTTAGGAATGGGGCATTATTATATTTATCTGGTGTCTGTCCTATTTGGAAAATGTTAATATTTTTGGCATTGAGTCTTAGAATGACTATTATGACTTTCTCAAGAGGACTAAGAGCTATCTTAAAAAAAATTTTTTTTGGTAGAATGTTAGCTTGTTGAGGGCAGGGAATGGTTAATTTCTGTCTTGGTAACCTCAGGGCCTGGCATATAGTAGGTACTTAAAAACACTTGCTGAATTTAATTGAACTGATAGAGAGGAAAGGAATATCATTTCTTAGGCTGGACTTTGATCAAATGACAGGAACAGCAGAATTTCCCTGCCTTGGATCAGCCCCATGATCTATCCAGCCCAGCAAAGAAAAGTAAGAGCTTGATGGCTAAACTTTGGGGCTATAAAGGACACTTTTCAGTGATTTAGAAGTACCGTCTTTGGAGAAAGTCAGTGGATTCTTTATAGAACTTTCAGATGAAGGCCTGAGCAATTTCCCACTATTTTCCAGACTTTCTTTTTATTAAATAAGCCATTCCTAATTTGCAAAGAGGAAGGGAAAGGCCACTGTCAAATTCTAAGACAGTAAAGAGAAAGCATTTCCTCTATGGGCCATCATTGTCTATTTCATTGCTATGAAATTCATAGCAATTTCATGAATTTCACCTCCACTGCATCTACCTCCAGCACCATCTTTGACAAAGTGGAGTAACGGCTCTATCCCTGGCTTCTCTGACCAATATAGCCTGCTCTTTGCCATCCCCACATGGCTGCCTATGAAGCCCTCGAATCATGGCTTCCATGGCTCGCTCTGACCTCAAACCAACAGAAAGAGTTACAGGAATTTAGTTTGAATACTTTAGCAATAGCAATAACAATTAAGTGAAACCCAAACTCAAAAGAAAGGAGATAGAAAGGATGTTAATAAGCCAAACTGTGGTTGGAATGATCATATTTGCTTGGAACCACAAAGTCTTTGTGACTTTGCCCATAGGCAATTCTAATTTCCCATCTTGTCTGAAACGCGGATTCTGTTTCTGACAGTTAGGTCTTGGTGGAGTGGGAGGAAGGCTGAAGACAGGCAGCCTGGTGCAGTGGACAGAGTGCTGGAATTGGAGCCAGGAAGATTAGGGTTCAGATCTTGGCTCTGATGAGTAAGTATCTGTGTGACCATGGGCTTAACCTCACTTAACCGCTCTGAAGCTCAGTTTCCTTATCTGTGAAATGAGATGGTTGGGTTAGATGGCCTCTAAGTTCCCTTCTAGTGCTAAATTTAGGGTCATATGCACCACACAGGCTACTTCCCTTCTCCCCTCCTCCCCCATCCCTATTAATGGCCAGGATTAACAGGACCAACTCTTTGTAGGCACTGTGTAAATATTTACTGAACTGAAATGGAATCAAATTCATCTTCATTGGCAATGGAAAGAAAAAGACAGCATCTATATTGCCCCATCACATGCATTAATGGCATCAGGGACCTGCCAGCAGACTAGCTGAGTAGCCAATGGGGCTGGCCAACCAGCAGTCTTAGCTACACAATGAGAGGGACTTCCTCAAACAGTAGCTACTGTGTCAGATATTTAACTTCCTTTCCAGCTCTGCCAGGTGCCTTTCCCCATTAGAATGTAAGCTCCTTGAGGGTAGAGACTGTGTCTTCTTTGTATTTGTATCCCAGTGATTAGCACAGCGCCTGGCACACAGTAATACTTAATAAATCTCTCTCTCTCTCTCTCTCTCTCTCTCTCTCTCTCTCTCTCTCTCTCTCTCTCCGTTCGTGTCTCGATGGAGCAATGCTATATTTGTGGGTGCCTGTGGGCCATGCCCTTGGCAGAGCACCATGCTTCTAGGGAAGAGAGAGCAGACAAGAGCTAAGGAAAACACTATTAGACAGAGGGAACAAGAAGAGAGTGGGGAGAGGCTGATCTTTCTCGGGAAGGGCATCTATTGTGTTAGGACTCTGTCATCTGGGATAAGGAAAAGGTAGAAAGGTCACCACTTCCCTAGACTAAACACAGCCTCATTATTTTAACCAGGGCATCCAGGTTTCTCAGGAGTGAGCACCATGATGAGAAATCCATATGTGGATGGGTGGAATGCATTTTTAAGTAATAATTTTAATTATTGAGCCAATCCTGTTAGCATGACCCCTGGATACACAAAGATGTAGATGGGCAAGTTAATTAAACCATACTAACCTACTAGTTCACGTGTGCTGGCTAACTAGGTAAAATATGTATTTGTTTCGCTGAACATTTTAGACAGGCCACACCCTGGGGTTAGGCAGGTCCCAGATGGGACACCTGGGTTTAGACCTTTCTGTCTAGTTTCTCTAAGAGGAATTACAGCTGCAATTTCACAAAGGGCTGGCTGCTTAAATCACCTAGACTCTTAGACTTTGACCTGAAATTCCTTCCCATCCTTGCCAGTGATTTCAGATTGAATTTGATGCTTGTTTGTGAGTTTTAGAAAACCTCAGTCCAGTGTATTAATGCATTTAGACATAACACTGAAGATCATAGAATTGGGGCTTGAAGTGACCTCAGAGGGCATCTAATTCAATTTCTCCATTTTATAGATGAGGAAACTGAGACCTCCCCAAGGTCACAAAAGTACTAAAAGTCAGAGGTGGGATTCAAACCCATTTCCTCTGATTCCAGGGTCAACAACTTTCCCACTGTCCTATGTTGCCCTCTAAGCCTGGCTAGTGGGGTACCAGCTCTGAAAAGTCTTCTTAAGCCTTTGAAGACAGGCTCAGTAACATGTCTGTTGTCCAAAACTCAGCCTTGGAAGGTTTGTCACCAGGAGGCTGGCTATTAAGAAATGGATTTTTTGGGCAACAACTCATCTACTAAGGTGCGGAAGGCAGAGAGAGTACTCCTACTGATGAAATCACAGATTCTTGAGATACTGAAGCATAATTATTTACAGCAACATGGCCAGAGAACACTAGACACAAGGTTAGAAGGGCTCAAATCTTCCTCTATTGCATTAAGAGTACATCCTTTTGAGTATCCACTGGGAGTCCAATCTCAGTATGTATTACAATGTTATGCATCTCACTGGAAAGCCCTCTAATTTAGGGTGATTTATCAAGGAAACTGAACTTCCTCCTTGGGCGGGTCATTTCAAATTGATCATTCCACCACATCCTGAAGGCATTAGTAACCAAATGCAAGGAATTCAACTCCTGACTCACCCGGTTTCCTTTGTCACCGGGTGGTCCGTGCAAACCCTAGAATAAATCAGACGCAAAGCTGTATTAACAAGCAACCCCCCTGATGGTCCTTGGGCCCCTTCCCTTCCAAGCTTCTGAAAGCTCTTTACTGACATCCAGCTCTAGGTGGGTTGGAGGGAAGGGGAGCACAGGGAGAAAATTTAATTATCCCCATCTTGCAGACTGGAAACCAAAGGGAAGAGAGCCCAAGTAAATTGACCTATAAAATACAGGATGAGTTATGGGCAGAGCTGTGAATGCTACCCTTGTTTCCTGGCTCCATGGTGGGGAAATGGGCTCTGTCCAGGTGGTCTCTCATCGGGGCATTGTGAGCCCATTTAAATGAATGAATAACTGGCCCTTAGGGCATGTCTTTGGAGCACATGAAAGGCAAGCAGGCCAATGACTGTGGCAGGGAGGCCCCCATGTTGCCATTCTGTCTGCCTCCTCCTTTTCAAACATGTTGAAGTGTGTTTTTTTTTTTCCCCATTCATCTCAAAGGCTTGAGTGCTGCCCTTGGACTTGGCTAGTGGGGCAATGACAAGCTGAAGTGTAGGGTTGCCCTGCCGCACCATAAAAATGGCTTGGGCAGCTTGACCCACTAGACGGGCCATAGTATACATGGTATACAGAGTATACAACACATACAACATGGTATACAGAGTATACAACAATGACAGGAATAAAGAGTCCCAGGATTAGAACTTGGTAAATGGTCTCTTGTAACTGGGTGGACCTTTCACTAAGTGAAGTAAATGGCTGGCTGTATAGGGTAAATCTAAGGAGCTCCAGGGGGCATTTCGGTACAAAGATATTTCTGCTTTCCTCCATTTTGTCGTTGTTTAGTCCTGTCCAACTCTTTTTTTTTTTTTGGGCTAGGCAATGGGGTTAAGTGACTTGCCCAGGGTCACACAGCTAGTAAGTGTCATGTGTCCGAGGCCAGATTTGAATTCAGGTCCTCCTGAATCCAGGGCAGGTGCTCTATCCACTGTGCCACCTAGCTGCCCCCCTGTCCAACTCTTCATGACCCCACTTGGGGTTTTCTTGGCAAAGACACTGGAGTGGTTTGCCATTTCCTTCTCCAGCTCATTTTATAGATGAGGAAACTGAGGCAAACAGGGTGAAGTGACTTGCCCAGGGTCACACAGCTAATAAATGTCTGAGGTCAGATTTGAACTCAGGTCCTCTTGACTCCAGGCCCAAGGCTCTATCTACTGTGCCACTTAGCTGCTTTCCTCCATGGACCCACTGAAATAGTTATTAAAGTCTTAGCATCAAGTACCTGGTTTCTTTCAATTAAGACTAAGCAGCATAGTGAGGGGTCATAGAAAGAATGCTAGATGTCTCTGCAGTGAAGAGAGACCTGGGTTCAAATCCTGGCTCTGATACCTACTAGCTATGTAACCCTAGGCAGAGGGCCTCTGTTTCCTTATGTGTGAAATAGGGATAATAGTATTGGTAATACTGAATTCATAGGTTCATTGAGCTTGGCCATATAAAGGTGAGTTAAGACACTGAGGGCTCTAATCATTTTAAAAAGATGTCAGTTGGCCATATTGAGCTGGTGATGCTCTCTTGTGAATGATCACATTATAGGTCTCAGGGTCAGGAGACATGATTTCCCCTCTCCCCAGCCACCTTCTAATATGTGACCTTAGGCCTTACTGCTCTCTGAGCCTCAGTTTCTCTTTGCAAAATGAAAGAGTTTGGACTTTGTGACTGACAATTTCCTTTCTAGCTCTTGGATTCTCTGAATCTCTCCCTGGGATAGTTCCCTAAAGTTTTGATGGAGGAGAGATGAAAGGGATGGGACAGTGAGAAGCAGGACTGTCTTGTTGAAAGCATTGGACTGAGTCAGGAGGGATGACTTCTAGTAGTCTGAGTTTAGGACTCACTTATAGGTGACATGATCTCAGCCAAGGGGTGTAGAGAAGAGAGCAATGGAGTTAGAGTCAGAGCACCTGGGTTCAAATTCTAACTCCATGATTTGTTACCTGTGTGTCCTTGGGAAACTCAACATCTCTGGGAGGTTTCCTCATTATGAGGCAGAGGGGATGGTCTCTGAGATCCTTTCTAGGTCTGAATTTTATAATCCAATGAGTATGGGTACTATGGGTGCTGAGATGAGGCTACTTATCTCTCTGCTACAGCATTGACCAGGTACCCAGTCCATGTTGGCCAACTCTGAAGACCTCATTGGGTTGGGACCCAAAGCCCTGCCTTTGCTCTTGGAGCTTTCCCTCTGTGTTCTGCCCTGCCCCTCCCCCCACCAAGTTCAATGTCTTCACTTGTGATTTCTGCAAGAGCAGCAGGAGAGACCACCCCTGGGAGATCAAGAGCATCCTCAGCCTCCGATAACAATGTGAGGGTGAGGAAAAACTTACAGGAAGCCCAGCTGCTCCCATTGGTCCTGTGATCCCTGGGTCTCCTTTGCTGCCCTGAAAGAGACAGAGAACAAAGCAACACGTGATCCTGTGTGACTAGGTGATTCATGTCCCTTGACACAAGTTTGGCTTGTCTAACCTGGGACCAGGAGATTTGGAATTGGAGGTGACCTTAAAAATCATTCAATTTACCCTCCCCCATAATTTTACAGAGGAAAAGGAGTCAAGGAGAAGAGATTTGCCCCAGATCACATGGCTAGTAAGCAACAGAGTCAAGATTCTTCCATGAAGGTCCTCTCTGCTGACTAGCTCAGATGGCCAGCTCCTCCCTCATCATCACAATCTCACATAACTGGATATAGCCTGGTTTGACAGACAGAGTAGTAGACTCTTGGTGGATAGAGCTGGGATGACTTTCATTTGAATTCCATCTGAGACACTAGCTGTGTCTCCCTGGGCAAGTTACTTAACCTTTCTTCTGCCTCAGTTTCCTCATCTATAATGATAATAGCACCTACCTCAGAGGGATGGTGTAAGGATCAAATGAGATCATATATGTAAAGTATTTTGCAAACCTTAAGTGCTTATATAAATGTGAATGATTGGGGCATTATCATCTAACTTCCAACAACATATGGTAAAATAACAGTAGCTTACATCATTATGGTCCTTTACATTGGGCTTGCCCCATAGACCTGCACCTATGAGTTAGTACAACATGATTAGCCCATTTTACAGATGAGGAAGATGCCTTAATATTGTGCAATCTGGTTATCTAGGCTTGTGCCTTATTGCTTAGGGTAATGTGCTCTTCCTAAGGTCAGGAACTGTGGCTTATTTCAAGTTAGTATATTAAGTTAAACGACTTGTGCCAGGTCACATAGCTCATAGGTATCAGAACCAGAATTTAAGCTCAGGTCTTCAGACTTTAAAACTAGTGGCTCTTTCCCATTTGTCTCCCCAATGCCCCAAGGTGCTTGGGATTAGGTGCTTCTATGGTGCCAACCACAACCTCCAAGACAGGGAGGGAAGGTAGGCAACCAGAAGCCATTCTGTAAAGTCTCAGTGGACAGAGACACACAACATAGATACAAGAAATCTTCCCTATTCAGTAGCCTGAGGCACCAGCAGGGGAGAAAAAAAGAGGTAGGCGGAGAGGGCATAGAAGATGAAAAGGTTTGTAGGCACTTTCCATCTCATTGGACTCTCCTAAGAACCTTGTGGGGCAGGTGATAGTACTATTTTTATTTCACAGATGAGGAAACAGGCTGAGACAATAACTAATTTGCCAAAAGTCTGACATCTAGTAAGTGTCTGAGGCAGGATTTGAATTCAGGCCTTCTTGACTTCAAAACCAACACTAGCCCTCAAATGATAAGGTACAAAAAAGGAAAGATATGGCGGGAACTGGAGACAAGGGTGGGTTCAAGTTATCCAGAAGGAGGTGAGTACGAGAGGGGATGGTTTCAGATATCACCCCATGGCCTCAGAGTCACAGAAGCCATCACCATAATGAGAACAGAGTGCTGGATTTAGAGTCAGGAATCTGGGTTCAGGTTCTTAGCAAATTCCTAGCTTTAAGACAGGGAGAGAACCTGGGATTTTATAGGCATAGGGAAATCGCAGAGGAGGAAGCTCCTGTTACCAATGCAGATCAGCACCTTCTTCTGCAGGTTTTAGACTTGGAGAGCATGTTGAACCCATGGGCCACTGACCCACAACCTTCCTGAGTGTGGCCCCAACCAGATTAAAATGCAATCGGGAAATAGTGAACAAGATAAGCAAAAATACAATAAAACTTGATGTTAATAGGTGGTTTTTGAAGTCAATCTGCAGCTTGCGGGGCTGGATCCTTCTGTCTGATTTACTGGCACCTGTTTCTATCTGAGATTGATATTACTGGCTTGGAGCACTGAAGTTAAGTGACTTGCCCAGGGTCACACAGCCAGGCTGTGTCAAATGCAAGACTTCAAGATTGGGCTAGTAATACTTGAAACTCAGAGGACTGTGGTGGAAAATGTGCTTTGTAAATGTTAAATCATCATGAAGATATGGATTATCATGATTATTTCATCAGCATCAGCATCTATTCCTTGGTCTGGCAAATTGAGGTGACCCCGTGGGTCACTGACGAGGAGGGGGGAGGAGGAGCCCACTGCTGAGGGGGAAGGAGGGAGCTATACCAGCGAGGGCGCATAGACTCATGACTACACGAACCAAGAGTTAACACTCTAGCATTCGTGAGGCATCGTTGGTGGGACCGCCTGGTGTCTCCGCCATTCCCCCTAAAGCTGCACGTTGCCTCCAGGTTATTTCTTTCCCCTTTCAGGGCTATCTTTGATGTTTATATCATCCAGTTATTACCTAGTTCCAGCCCTGGGGAGAAGGGGAGTGTGACCGTCCTCTGCTGTTGCTCTGTTTGGGTTTAAGTGGTGGCTGGGGCCAAGGGAATAGGAGCTTATCCCCGGACGAATGGAGGCAGCTGGAGAGCTGCCAAGGCAAACCCCATCTGGAGACCGAAACTGAGAAGCAGCACCCAGAACTTCTCTTGACAGTGTACGGAGTGCTAAATTTGGAATAGGGATGCTGGTTCAAATCCTGACACTGACAGTTACTAGCACATTGCTTTTTCTCGTGTAAAATGGACGTAACAAGGTGTGTGATACCTACTGTGCGTTTTGCTGAGTGAAGCACTTTGTAAACCTCAGACTACTATACAAACAGGAGTTATTATTGTTGTCGTGGGTGTTGGCTGTGTGACCTGGGCAGTTAGTAAACTCCTCTAGGCTGCCTTCTGTAGAATGAAGGGATTATGCTCGATTGTTTCTACCAAAGTGCCTGGAGCATGACGGATGCTTGGTAGATCCTTGTCGACTGGCCTATTCTGAGGCCCGTTGCAGCTTTAAATCCTGGTCCCCTCCATTCATCCCACTGCCCAGATTTGGCTGGCACAGCTTGGCTGAGCGGGTACACTCACCCTCTCCCCTTTTGGTCCTGCCGGGCCGGGAACCCCAACTGGTCCTGGAGTACCCTGTGGGGTTTGAAAAAAAGAGGGGGTGGTCATGGCCCTGGTGATCTGGGCAAATCTCATTAAGGCACAGCTGACTCCTGCAGGCAAAACTACAGTGGTTGTGGAAGAAAATCTGGGGAGCCGAGGCTTCCTTTATTTGCCGACAGTTTTCAGGGTTGGCAAGGCCAAGGTCAGGGATGGTTGTGCAGCTGCAGTCCGGCCCCTTTTGAGCTTGGGGGAGGGGCCGGACTGCTGATTTCAGTCTCCCAGTTCTGCAGAATTGAACCCTTTTGCCTCACAGCCAAGCCAGCCAAGCTGAAAACAGGAGGAGGAGAATAGCTCATTTTCTGAAAGCGTTTGAGAGGAAAGTCACCGGAGCCTCCAGAGGGGAGAAGGGACCCCGGGCTGGTAGGCTGAGTATCATGCAGGCGGGTGGGCAGGTCACCATGCCATGGGGAGGAAGGCAAGATGCACACACAGAGAGAAGCAGGCAGAAGAGGGTTCCACTTATTCTACTTCCCTGAGGACCCTGGCCCCCTAGAGCAACCCCCAACCTCAGCCCTTTATCCTCTGGGAAGTGTGGGCCTTTCCCTTTCACCTGGAGGCATCCATGGTCACCACAACAGATCTCGGGAAGGTCTCTAAGGCATTCCTTCAGTAGAAGGGACGTAAGGTCTAGGACCAAGACACCTGTGCTTACCTGGGTAAGCCTGTTCCTCCCTCACAACATTCCCTCTCCTGCCTTTGTGCTGGCCACCCGCCATGCCTGGAATGCCCTTCCTCTTTACCTCCACCTCACCGAGTCTCTCCCTTCCTTTAAGATGTGGGTCATGAACCACCTTCCACAGAAAGCCTCTCCTGATCCCCCTGCTGGAGCCCTCCCTCCAAGCCTCCCCACATCCGGCCACTTCCTACCCAGGTTTGTATTTATTTACTTTCCTGTTTAAGTTGTAGATACATTAAATGTACTTGTCTTCCCCACTGGAATGGAGTCTCTTTGTGAGTGGGGATTGCTTTATTCTTTGTATCTGTACCCCAAGGACAAAACACAGTGTAGTACAAGGCGAATTGTAGGTGCTAATGAATACTTGATTGATTGATAAGTTTTCTTTTAGCTACCTTCATCTTTCTCCATATATGTATACACACATACATCATACACATATGTGCATATATACATATATGTACACATACACAGGATGTCCCCAAAATCTTAGTGCATTTTTGTGCTATCAAAGATTAAAGCTGCACTAAGACTTTTGGGACAGTATGCATGTGTGTGTGTGTGTGTGTGTGTGTGTGTGTTGTGTGTGTGTGTGTATCTATATCTTGTATGGACCAATTTATATAATGCTGCCTCCTCCATTAAACTGTGAGTTCCTTGGGAGCAGGAACCTGTTTTCAACTTTCTTTGTATCTCCTGTGGTTAGTACAGTGCCTGGCACATAGTAAGAGCTTAATAAATGCTTTTAAAAAATAATTAATTTAATAAATGCTTGTTGACTGACTGTGTGATTCCTGGTTCTTGATCTGTGAGCTAGTGTTAATTGTTGACCTCCCATCCTCAGGGGAGTTAATTGGGTCCTCTCACTGCCTCTTGTCAACATCTATAACAGCAAGCATGGTAGGGCAGCTAGTGTGGTGGCTGGCCCTGGAGCCAGAAGCTCTGGGATCGAATCCCTGCTTCACTACAATTCACAGTCTAGGTGATCCTGGGCAAGTCACCTTCCTGAAATTTGGTTTCCTCATTTATCTGCTGAAAATAATAAGACTTGTGCTGCCTAATTCCCAAGGGTGTCATGGGTGAGGAGTTTTTAATCCTCATTAATTGAGCTGAGAAGACCTTATAATTATTCTGACTGAGAAACAGCAGAATTGAGATGGGCTGGGCTGGGTTTGGAGGCAGTATTGCCTAGAGACTGCTAAAGCACCATCAAAGCTCAGAATTCAGCAGTTGGCATTTCAAAAGTCTCTGTTCGCCAGACCAAAGCTAAGCTAGACTCAGTGTTTGCCGATCTGACTTAGAAGGATCTCCTGTCTGTGAGCCTGGGTGTTGTGGGTTGGTTTTTGAGTTGTCCAATCAGCATTCTCGGTTAAAAATGTAGGACAAATGAAGACCTAGACCTGGGTTCCATCCCCTGCTGGGATCAATAGTTAAGCACAGAGAAGAAATCTGTCTCTCTGGCCCCTAGACACTTGTCACATTCTCAACCCACCAGCCTTTTGGTTCTGAGGAACACAGAGAGAGGCCACCACTTGCTACAAATGGAGATGCAGTTCAAAGCGCCTGTGCTAGTGGGAGTGGGCAGGAAGACCGCTTTCGTATTTAAATACAATAAAATAAAATTGCCTTAGCGGATGGAAAAGAACAGAGAGATCTGGCTGTCACTTTGTGTTGTGACCTTGGATTTTCTCTGCGAAACGAGCTGAACTCTAAAGGCCTCTTCCAACTCACACTTCCTATGTTCCAAGGTCTCTTTTGCCTTTGACTTTCAGTCCTCTGTTCTAAGGATCCTTCTTGCTTTGACATTTCATGTTCTCTGGTCCCTTTTTATCATGGAAATGCTCTCCTTTCTAAGGATCTTCCCAGCTTTGACATTCTGGGAAGATTTTTTTGGTTGTTCTTATAAACTTCCTAATGAAGTCTGTTCTTAAAATTGTTTTTTGGCTATGAGTCATTTATAGACTAATGTGTATTCTGCTGGGGAGGGGTCATCAAGGGTAAACCAAGAGCTATTTTAAAGTGGGTCTCAATGGAAAAAGTAGGCAAACAATACATCCAAGCCCTTCACACCTTAGGTGACAGACTGGTAATTGCTAATGACTGTTCACAAGATTGCCTTGAGCAAGAGTGAAATGAACCTGGCTCACAGCATGAAGACCGGGTGAATAGGACAATGGGGACATGCAGAGGATGTCCCTGATACCTTTCAGTAAGTGAGATAACTGGGGGTGGGGGGAGGTATTGTGAAGGCGTTGACCTTCAAAATCTGCTTTAAAATCAACCATGTGCAGTTGGCAAATCTATATCTGATCATCCTGAACCGAGGATAGTTGATGGGAATATTTAGGCTGGAGTCAGCCACACTTTGAGGCAGAATGATTAATGAATTCCAATTCAGGATTATATAGCCTAGAATCAGTTCCATCACAATGTGGTATTAGGGAAAAAAATCTTAGGAAATAAATAAAAAATTTTACTTCTCTGGGCCTTGCCTTTCTGCTCTGTAAATGAGGAGGTTAAAAGGGATGATTTTAAAGGATGTTTTGCATTGTGGCATTCTGTGTTTTACATTCTAAGACATTACCCATCATTCTGTGTTCTCTATTCTAAGGTTCCTTCCAGCTCTGACATTTCATGTTCTAAAGAATTCTCCAGTTCCAACATTCTGTGTTCTTCCAGTTCTGACATGCTATGTTCTAAGATCTCTTTCACCTCTGACACTGGAAAACAAGGTCCCTTCCAGTTCTGACATCCCATGTTCTATGTTCTAAGGGCCTTCCCATTTCAACATTTCATGTTCTATGTTCTGAGCTTTCTTCTCTTACATTCAATAATTATATGAACCATTTGCCCCAGAAGAAATGTGATAACGCTTTCAAATTAAGCTCAACCTATTCCTTGATGGTGGTGGTGGGAAAACGTAGTGACTCACAGTATAAACAAGGCTGCAGTGGGACAGACAAGACAAATCACAGGCTGCGGGGTGGGGAGGAGGGAGGTGAGATAATGGAGAAACAAGACTCACCGGTGACCCAGGCCTGCCGTCCAAACCTGAAGCACCCTGGACAGAAGGGAAGGGTTTAACAAAAAGAAGGCAGGGAGGAACGGGAAGGTGTTGGGGTGGGGAGGGGGAAGGAGAAAAAAGGACATGGGGAGGGAAGAAGTGAGTGAAGCAATGACTTTGGACAAACATAATGCTTGTAATCAAACAAAACGGGAAAATAAGCTCTCGAGGACAGGTGATGGTATTGACATGGAAATCAACAACGACATGGAGACACTGGATGCAGTGTGGGCTGACCAGGCAGGGCTCTCTGCAGGGAATATGGGAAGGAGGCCAAAGTGGTCGTCCAGGTCCTTTCCACCTCCCCTCTTAGGCACTCTTTCCCTCCTTCCAGAACTCCACCCCTTTCCCTCCAGTCTCTGAATCCCCCATTACTTTCATGCTACCAAGTGGTGTGCTACAGTGGAGACAATGCTGGATTGTGGAATCAGGAGCTTGGGTTCAAGTCCTGCTTGTGTCACTAACTAGCTATGTGACCTTGGGCAAGTCACAAGCCTCACTTTCTTCTTCTGTAAAATGGGAGGGTCCTTCTGTCTCTAAATCTCTGATATCTTCAAGGGAAGGGTTGGGTAGGGAAGTCATGGTCACCACATGTGAGACATGTCCCTGGCCAGCTGAAGGCAGAAGGAGAGCAAGCCCTGGCCTAGGGCCAAGAAAAAGAGGGAGAGAGAGAAGAGAGAGAGAGAGAGAGAGAGAGAGAGAGAGAGAGAGAGAGAGAGAGAGAGAGAGAGAGAGAGCTGGTCTCCATGTCAGGAAGACCTGGATTCCAGCCCTGCCTCTGATATCCACTGGCTATGTGACTCTGGACAAGTCCTCTCAATGTTCCCAGGATATTCCCTAAATCTAAAAGTTGTAGGGCAGGTGGCGATCTGAATTGGTAGAGGGAGTTTCCTCCTCTGGGAGTTCCCTAAACCAATGTGATTACAATTCTGGTCTAAATAAAAAACTCATTAAGCCTGTCTATTAAGGCATGGACAAGGTTGGGAGGGAGATGATGTTGATGACATCATTGATCCTTGAAGCAATACGGCACTGGGCTCAATGTGTTCTCATCTTTGGAGATGATTTTTGTTTTCCTAGAGGATCACAGGGAAGGGTAAATGTTTAAGTCCATGGAATGAATCCAGAATGGTGGAATTCCTGCCATTGTAGCACCCAAGTTAGAGGCGATGCCTAAATTTGGGGCAGTGCCATTCTTACACCCTCAGATCACACTAGGCATGTGGCTCTCTTTCCATTTGGAATGGTCCAAATGTTGAAGGCATGCCTGGAATTGGAGTTTTGAACTCTTGAAAACAGAGGAAGTAATGGGCCAATTTCTTTTTTTGGTAGAGGTGGCAATCAGCAATATAAGAGGGCTCTTATCTAGACTGAGCCATGAGGTTAGCTGGGTGTCATTCTCTCCCCAGAGTCCAATGATAAGACAGTGGAGGAGATTTGGAGTCAGAGGACCTGGGTTTGAATCCTGCTTCTGATACTACCTGTGGGACCATAGGCAACTTAACTGAGCCTCAGTTTCCTTAACTGTAAAAGGAGGGAGTTAGACAAGATGATCTCAAAGATCTCCCCCAGCCCTAAATCTGACCATATGATCTATTTACTTCCCAGGTTTGAAAGGTAAGGTGTTTCCAAAGAGCAGATTTCAGGGAGGAATGACTGGTGAGGTCCAGGAGTGAGGAGGTATAGACATGACTTAAAAAGGCATTGTACTGATTAGCCGTTCTCATCTTTATCCTTATAGCATAATAAGATGCCTTCTATGAGGGACTGAGTTACTGCTCTGTCTGGAGATGAAGTAGCCCTGAGACAGTCCCCGAATAGCCATTTCCTTGGAGAAAACAGTACAAAACTCAGTGTGACCTCCTTGGAAAAATGGCACATCTACATGGCACTAAAAACCCATATAAAGGCTGAACACAAAGAGTCAGTGAAATATATGGATATTTTGTCCATGTGATATGAAATAACTGGGTATTTGGAGATGTCTTCAGAAATGGTGAGATTTTTTTCAGTTTTTATTCAGCTGGCTGCCACAGAGAATATATTGTTGTTTTCTAATATCTGACTTTTCAAAGGGTAGAGAGGTAGCATGTCATAGCAGATAGACTTGTGAGGTTTGGAGTAAGGAGAGATCTGATTTCAAATTCTAGTTCTGAGACACCCATTCACTTTGTGACCCTAAGAAGAAACTTATCCTTCTGAGCCTCAGTTTCCCTATCCATGATGTGGAGGTAATAATGCTTAGCTTCCCTCCCTCATGGTGTTGCTTTGTAAACTCTCAATGTGAGTTATTATCATGGCAATTTCAATCACAAGAACTGGCTAGATTAATTATTTGGTACAGTGGAAAATATTTGCTAGTTATTAGCTTTGTGCAGATTATTAGGATAATTAGATACTTGACTAGTTCTACATTTGATATATTAGCAGGAGAGTAATTCTGCCTTTTGCTTTCACAGTTTAGCTGTAATTATACAAATGAAATCTATCAAGCTCTAGGAAAACATAGGGAGAGAATTCCTGGTCTTGTAATTATGTAGTAGTGTTTCTTACTGGATTCTTAGACAGGGAATTTGGAATGGGGTTTGAAATGGGGGGCAGAGGAATTAATACCATGAAGGGCAAGTTCTTGGAAGGGAATCAGTCAGAGAAGGTCATGGGACAGTACCAGATTAGGAATTGAAAGTACTTTACTGGCCATGTGATCTAGACAAGACCCTTCCCTCTCTAAGCCTCTCTAAAATGACAATAGTGGACTAGAAGGACCTTGCCAACCTTTAAAAGAAGAAAAATATCCAAATATCAGCCCTTGAGTCACCAGGGCTGAATTGTAAGACTGAGATCAATACATTGGGAAGTCTGTGACAGAGTTCCCCTTGAGTGCTGGAAAAGACCATAGAAATGGGGAAACTGAGGCCCACAAATGACACACTTAATGTCACACTAGTTGGGAATGGCAGAGCTGGAATAATCAATGTGGGTTGGTTCTTAGGCAACTGGGTAGGGCAATGGGGCACAAGGGTAAATCTACTCCAGTCCTTTCACACTTGCCAGATGTTGGTATTTTCTAAGTGCTATGGCTTCCATCTGTTCTTTGATCCTCAACTTTGTGGGCCTTCATGCTAAGAATGCCCTGAAAACTATTTATCTGGACAACCTGAATAACATGGGATGGACGGGTCAAAAACTTTAAAATTTTGTGCTGGTGGTTAATGTAGAAGTGGGAAAAAAGTATGGAAGTGTCCTTGCCTCTGAGAGTTCCCTATGTTTTCTTCTAAGGACAGCTGTTCAAAGATTACTTTAAGCTAAATAAGGACTAGCCCAAACATGGAACCTTGGTTATGGGACCTTGGGTAGCCATGTTGCTACCAGACTGAGCTGTTGTAAAATATAACAGTTGACTCAGTAGGTTTTGAGTTTCCCATCACTGGAGGTCTTCAAATGGGAACTGGATGATCACTTATAGAGAGATTAAAGCACATATTAAGTTTTTTACTGTGCCAGGCGTGGTCACACAGAAGACAAGCAGCTTAGAGGAATGGATGGCCTGAGTCAGGAGGACCTTAGTTCAAATCCTACCTCTGACCTATACTGGGTATATTGAAGAGTGAATTCCTGTTCAGGTTTGGGTTGGACTAGATGACCTCATCTGAGGTCCCTTCCAACTCGGTGATTCTGTGATGTATTCTGGGCTTTAAGGATGAATAAAAGTTAACATATGACTAGGAGACAAGGGATTCTTTCAGGTCACTTTGTTTTCACAAGGTCAATATACTTTCAGGATCTCCAGAGCTGGGAAGTTGGGTTCAAAGCTTGCATTCTGCATTATTTAGACCTGGACAGGCAGTATTTATTGAGTAGAAAGAATCCATCCCACTGGATTTGAAGTAAGGAGATTTGGGTTTGAATTCCTACTCTGGCACTAGCTAGGTGGCCGTTGGTGAAACTCTGAACCTCAGTTTTCCCTTCTGTAAAAGATTTGCGCTTCCCATCTCATGGGATCATTGTGATGAAAGCACTGTATATATATAATGTGTGGTGGCCATTTTCCACACTTGGGATGCAAGCACAGGTTATGAGTCACATTTCTCTCCTAACTTCCCATCTCCCACAGGACAGCCCAGCCTGGTAACCTGTCCTCTTCAGGATCAAACATCACTTAAAATGCCCTTCCTAGTTCCTAGACACTTACAGGCAATCCCAATGGACCTCGGTCTCCTTTTTCTCCCTGGACACCCTTCTCTCCTTTCATTCCATCAAGTCCAGCTTCTCCCTGAAAGAAAAACACATTTAGGGGGGAATCATGACATGTTGCTCCCCTACACAACACATCTTGGTATGGTGGACTGGTGGGAAGGGTGCCTGATCCCTAGTTTTGCCACAACCTTTGCATCCCTGGAGGCATTTTGTGGTCTTTTCCATCATTAGATAAGGTGGGTGACCAGACAGGTATTCAAGCTTGCAGAGCATGGGAGCCACAGAGACAGAGTAAGATGGTTTTTTGTGTGGACAGAGTAGGAGACATCATATGGTATGATGATGCTTCAAAATAATACTTCCCATGTTGATTACTTAATCAACACATAAGCATTTATCAAGGGCCTACCACATGCCAGGGACTGTGCAAAGAGCTAGGATAAAAAAGCAATGCAAATGATGCTTTAAAGTTTATGATCAGTGCTTTATCTCTTGGCCACAGGAATTCTCAGTCATTTGGTAATAGCAAGCTAGTTCTCATTTCCTTGAAGTTTTGAGTTTCCCTGGATATGTGTGTGTGTGTGTGTGTGTGTGTGTACATTAACTGAGGAGGATTTGGGACCACACATGGTTATAATACCCTTCAACCTCCTGCCATAGCTGCGATCCTTATCAAAGTGGAAATATCTCCAAAGGGTGACATTATTACATTGGATGGCCAAAATTGCTTGAGAGCCTCAAAGCTGCAATCATTGACACTTAAGTGTGAATGAAGGATGGAGAAGCTTTTGATAAGAAGGTAGGGATTATAGGTCTGGAGAGCTGGAAGGAATCTCAGAAACCATCTCTAACCTTCTCAAGACCACACAGGTAAGAGACGGAATTTATCTTCTGACTAGAGACAGTCTTCTCCTGGCTTAGTGCTTTTCCTAACACCATCTCCCACATCTGGTATGGACTCACTCCAACTACATTTGTCAAAGTCTCTCCCTTTCTTCAAGACCTAACTCAGGTGTGACCTATGCCACGAAGCCTTCCTTGAGCTCCCCCAGGCAAAAGTGATCTTTCTCAAGTTTCCCATCACCCTTTGCCTGGATCCCTTCTTTTCCCTCGCATCATAGCTGTTTGCATCCACATCTCCTCCTCCTCCCCTATGCAATTGTAAGTTCCTTGGGCAAAAGGTTTGATTTGGATTTTTGTTTTCCTAGTACCTGACATAGTGCCTTGCATATAGTAGGTGCTTAATTAATATATGTCCATTAAAGTGAAAGGAATGGGCGGGTAGATGAATAGGTAGAAATTCAGAGACATTAGCAATCATAAGTCAGCAGCAATTGGTGCTTATGGAGTGCAGGACTTCCTCTCTGCTGAGACCATTTCCATCTATCTGTTGCAACTATTTTTATTCTTAGATATACTAGGAGATAAAGGTACGCTGCTGGTCAGCCATGCCTCTAAGTCCCCTCCTTTCCCCCTTTCTTTCACTGCTATGGCCTGTTAGATGAGAGGTAGAATACCAGTCCTGCCCTGTCTTACCTTTGGTCCAGGAACACCTTGGAGACCCTGCATTTGGAAGAGAAATATAGACCATTAAAACTGCATTTCTGGTAGGCCAGCTATCCTCTTGCCCATGAGGTCGTACATCCTGCAGCCCAGCCATGATAGAGCTCCAAAGGTTTTGGATGGGATGGTCTTATCCATGATCACCATCTGGGTTCAGTCCAAGGTGGCCATTGCCAGTTGCACAATCCCGTTGGGCAGGCTGTTCTGGACTGGTATGGGGCCCTGGGGATGTGGAACCATTTGCACTCAGCCATACCAACAAGAAGAATATATCACTTTGTCCATGGGGACTATCATTTGAAGCAATGATTGTCTGCCATGATAGTGTGGGTGAGATGATACTGAGTAGTTTGCTGGCTCATGGGGCTCTGGATTGGAGGTGGGAAGAAGGAAGGATGTCACTCATTGGCAGGCAGCCATGGGAAAGTGGAAGTAACTCTGGATTTGGAACCAGAAAACCTGGGTATGAATCTCGATCCTGAAGTTTACTTGCCATGTCTGAGCCCCTTAATCTCTCTGGGACACAAATTCCTCACTAGTAAATGTGGATAATGAAATAACACAGGGCTGCTGTGAGGCCCGAATGAGATGCAAAGTCCTTGGTTAATTTTGCCAAACCATGTGACTGTCAGTAATAACTATTTCTTTATCTCTGAACCTTGGCTTCCACATAGGGATGATAACACCTGCCCACTCCCCTACCTGTGAGGATCAAATGGTTTGTGAAGTACTTTGTAGACCACCGGGCACTGTCCTTGACTCCTCCCTCTTACCTTAACTCTTCACCCACACATAATCAATCAGCTGCCACATCTTGTTGCTTCTCCCTCCACAGTATCTCTTCCATCCATCCCTTTCTGTGTTCTAACAGATAGATCCCTAGTTCAGGCCCTTAGACTGCTCTAATGGTCTTCATTGGTCTCCTCCCTACAATTCACTCATTGTTTACAGAGCTGCCAAACTGACTTTCTGAAAGTGTTAAGTATAATCATGTCATTCTCTTACTCGACATATTCCCCTGGTTTCATGTTGCCTCTAGCATCAAATATAAGCTTCTCTGTTCAGCTCTTAAAGCCCCTCACAACCTGCCCCCAACCTCCTTTTTCAACCGTATTATGTATTACTTTCCCTTACAGTCTAGCCAAATTGGTCTTCTCACATATGCTCCATCTCCCATCTCTATATTTTTGTATGGGCTGTCCACCATGGCTGGACTACACTATCTCATCTTCACTTTCTTCATTTTCTTTCTCCCATTCCTTTCTTTCTCTCTCTCCCTTTCTTCCTTCCCTTTCTCTTTCTCCCTCTTCCTTCCCTTCCCTCCCTCTTCCTTTCCTTTCCTTTCCTTTCCTTTCCTTTCCTTTCCTTTCCTTTCCTTTCCTTTCCTTTCCTTTCCTTTCCTTTTCCTTTCCTTTCCTTTCCTTTCCTTTCCTTTCCTTTCCTTTCCTTCCTTTCCTTTCCTTTCCTTTCCTTTCCTTTCCTTTCCTTTCCTTTCCTTTCCTTTCCTTTCCTTTCCTTTCCTTTCCTTTCCTTCCCTTCCCTTCCTTTCCTTACCTTTCCTTTCCCTTCCCTTCCCTTTTCTAATCTCACAGCCACTGACACCTTCTCTCTCACAAAAAAAAATTCACCTTAATTTATTGTATATGTATCTATTTGTGTACCTGCTGTCTCTCTCACTAGAGTGTAAGCTCCTTTAGGGCAGGCCCTGTTTCATTTTGTCTTTGTATCCTGAGGGCCTGGCACATCGTGTGCCCTTTCTAAATACGTATTGATTGACTTATTGTGCAGAGGGCCTGGCTTGAACACTGGGCCTGCTGTCTCTTTGGTAGATGGTCAGATGATTGTATTGGTGTGATAAGTCACACAAGAATGCTCATTGGCTTGGGATATAGTCCCTTTAAACAAGTCCTTTGAAGTACAACTATGGAAAGACCAACCCAGCAGGGCTTGCTTTAAATGGGTCACTTTCTATTTTAATCCTGATGTCCTGGCCAGCTTGTTAGCATGTGAGCAGGCAGACAGGAAGGGGAGGATCAGAAGCCCCATAGCAAAGGGTTAAGTAAATACTGGGCACCATTCTTGACAGATGGGGTCCTGAGGGGCGGTACACCAGATGTCACAACATCCTGAGCCAGCAACTCCCCATTTCATTAAAAAGTGTTGTTCTTACTCAGGATAAACCTCCTAATGTTACTGAGATTCAATTCAATTAAACAAAGATTGATTAAGCACCTACTATGTGTTAGTGTGTGTGCCAGGTACTGGAGAAAGAAGCAGTCCCTGGGTTAAAAGAGCTTACACACATCTTGGGGTGGGGCTGGGGGACAACAGATCACTTAAAATAAGTAAGAAAAGGGGGCAGGACAGGTAGAAGGCCTCTATATGTGAAAAGTCACAGGATCATGGGATTTATATCTGAAAAGGACCTCAGACACCACCTAATCTAATCCCCTCATTTTACAGATGAGGAAACTGAGGCCCAGAGAAGGTAAGGGATTACTTAAAGTCACACAGCTAATTGTGTAACCATACCAGGACTCAAACTTCATTCTTCTCACTCAGAATACAGTGATACTCCACCATACTTCCTCCTTGGAGGGAAATGAGATGGAGGGTACCCAAAGGCGATGTCAATACTAACCAGTGGAAATGGGAAGCCCATGGAATTAGAGTGACAATGGTCAGATTGAAATGCCTTCACCATCCACTAGCCCAAAGTCAATAGTGAGAACTTACTGCAGGTCCCGGGGGGCCCTGGGGCCCTGGTGGTCCAGATGTCTGAAAGCCAAAAGAGGAAGACATCAGAAAAACGAAAGTTTTGCCACATAATTCTGAAACACCAGAAGGCCTTCTTACAATGTCAAAGAATCATGGGATGGGAAGGGACTTTCAAAGCCAAAGCTGTGGGGTTCACTTTAAAGGATCAGGGTCTGAGTTGGGACTCCAGGGTCAAGAAGGAGTAGAAAGATGTGGGGAAAACAGGGAATATCCAGAGGGCATTCATCAACCCTCAAAAAATATTAAGTGCCTACTGTGTGCCAGGTCCCGTGCTAAGTGCTTTACAAACAGAAATGTCATCCTATCTTCGCAACAAACCCTGGAAGGTAGGTGCTATTATTTTCCACTTTTTACAGATGGGGGAACTGAGTCAGACAGAGGTTAAGTGACTTGCCTAGAGTCTCACAGCTAGTAAGTGTCTGAGTCAGGATTTGAACTCATGTCTTCCTGATTCCAAGACCCATGTTCTACCTACTGTATCACTTAGTTGCCTTCAAGTTTGAGTCTCTACTTTGCTTCTTAGTAAGTAGGTAACCTTGGACAAGTCACTTCCCTTCTCTGGGGCCCAATTTCCTCATTTGTAAAATAAGATAGTTGGATTGGGGATGCTCTAGAGCAAACTCATACCTGCTCGCAAGAGCTGATTGTTAAATTTTCAGTGTGAACATTTACACCTTGGAAATCCACAAATGCTACAAAACACAGCTGGACTTATTGTTTTGTTGATTGTCTAGCCTTAGGAAAGTGCTGGAGAAAAATTTTAATAATGCATATTTAATTTAAAAGTGTGTCATGCATTTTTGGAGAGCTAGATGTTAAACATTTACCAGTATACATCCGGGTTGGATGAGATGATTTCCAAGGTCTTTTGTAGCTCTAACAATTTTCTTTTGGGCAACTAAGCATTTAAATGTCTCGTTCTAAAGACAGAGTATCATTTATTACATAAATAGTTAAAGGAGATATGGTCTTATTGGAACGGGTTCATTCTCCACGGACAGATCCCAACTCCTCCATGCTTCCAGAGATGACTGAGTGAGTTGCTCTGGCCAAATGAATTTACCTGTTGGCCAAACCATTGGTAATAAGCCTTTCCATACTTAGAGAGAATGCCTATCAAATTTTAGACGCGTGGCTAGTCATTGGGCTCACACACGACACCTGTCCAGCTGTAGAGCCTTAAGTTATTGTCACCCTACAATAAGGGTACCAAATTAACACATTAAAGCACCCACATATACATACATATGTCTATTCATATGACTGTATATTTGTTATACACACATACATATGTCTATCTGTATGAATGTATATGTGTGTATACATATGTGTATGTCTATCTGTATGAATGTATATGTGTGTATACATACATACACATACACAGAGACTTCAGATAAATTGAAGGATAATAGAGCCTAATGGATGGCTGTGGTAAACCGTATTGTCTGCCCCTAACTTTAGGGGTGATGTCACAAAAGGCAGCCATGTCCTTCCACTAATAATCTTTGAACCTTGATTAAGAACCAAATCCCAGGATAGATGATGAGGCTTCCCTGGGAGGGGAAGTTCTTACGTTCTTATCATCCTTCAAAATGAGGAGAGTGATGCCCCTTGTGGAATGCTCATGGTCCAGCAGTGAGGAAAACGAATTCCCCATAGAGCTGTTCTGCATGAATGAGGAGAAAGAGAGCCTACCTACCTCCACTCCTGGGTCACCCTTTGCTCCAGGATCTCCTTTCTCTCCCTGCAAATGCAATACCTTGGCGTGAACACGTACACCAGTGCCAGCTCACATTCAATTTACTGAAATTAACAAACATTAAAGTGCCTACAACGTGCACATTTGTTAAACACCTCAAATCTTCGACAGATTGGAGCATGTCTAAATGAGGATGAACAGGCCAAGGAGGGACCATGTGATATGAGGATTAGCTGAAGGAAGTCAGGATATTTAGCCTGGAGAAGATTAATGGGGAAGGAGATTTGAAGGGCTGGCTTATTTTATGCGGTCCCAGATGGAAGCAGTACCATCGGACCATGGAGTGGAAGTCAAAGGTGGCAAATGTTGGGTCAGTACACAAAAGCACCTTTCTGACCCTTCAAGCTGCCCCACTACAGAATGGGCTGTCTCATGAGACTGGAGCTTCTTGTTACCAAGTGTATGTAAACAGAGGCCAAATACTCTTCATACTTGTCTATCAGAGAGACGTGATGGACTCAAGCAGCAGCAGGAGACACATTTTTGGACATGGTCAATACGGGAATTTGTTTTGCTTGACTACGTTTATTTGGTAGAAGAATTTTCTTTTTCTTTTTCAATGTAAAGGTCTATATGGGAGGGAGAGAAATAGGTTTTTGTTAACTGAAAATTAAATAAAAAATAAAAAAACTAAATAAAAATATAAAATAATTTTTCAAATAATCATTGATCAGGAGTTCTATGAAAGATTTTTTTTTTGTCTTCGGTGAGTGTTTGCACAAGATGACCTTTTGCTCCCAAGACAATGATTATTATAGGATTTAGAAATGAGAAGGTAGAGGCAGCTAGGTGGCACAGTGGGTAGAGCACCGGCCCTGGATTCAGGAGGACCTGAGTTCAAATCTGGGCTCAGACACATAACACTTACTAGCTGTGTGACCCTGGGCAAGTCACTTAACCCATTGCCTAGCCAAAAAAAAAACAAAAAAAAAGAAGAAATGGGAAAGCCATGGAGACGGTTGACTCCAGCCCCCTCATTTTACACATGAAGAAATTAAATCCCAGAGAGCTTCAGCCACTTGCTCAAGGCTCCAAGGTTGCACAGATGGTGAGCAGCAGGGTCAGAATTTGAACACAGTTCTCAGACTCCATTTATCCTCTGTCCACTTCCAAAAAGGATTAACACCACCCCCCACTAACCCTATGATTTCATCATCATCAGGAGCTCCCAGGAAGGAAACTCCCTCCACCAATGCAGAGGAACATCTGTTGTGCAATTTGTAATCTTAGTGAGATTTGACCAAGATCACACAGTCAATATGTATGAGAGTCAAGACTTGACCCTGTGTTATTTTCCTGATCCCAAGGCTGGCTCTCTGTCTACCACTCCCCTATTGTCCCTATGATGCTGTGAAATCTGGGAATCCCTTAGAGGGGAAACTGTAAGCCACCATGGTGTATCTCTGGGGAGCTGCCGCCAGAGTCCCTTTCTAATCTTTGAAATATTTTCTACAGGAATGGAAACTCACAACATGGAAGGCACCAGTTAGCGGTTAGTGTCACAAAGAGCTACTTCCCAACCTTGCCTTGAAGGATGGGGATTAGTGCAGTGCTTGGCTCATGGATAGGTCCATGGCATGATTCTGGCAGCAGCCCCAGAAGCTGTGATACCCTCCTCCACCTTCACCTGCCTTAAGACATCCTCATGGTAGGACTCTCTTACTGTAAATCCCGGGAGCCCAATTGGACCGGGCAATCCTGCGGCTCCTGGTCTCCCTTGGTCACCTGGTTCTCCTTTCTCTCCGGTGGGGCCATCAAGACCCTACAGATTGACAAAGATGGTGGGTTAGTTAGTTAAGCTTGGGGTTGGTTATCTCAAAGTGCTTCTGTAGCATGCATTCACGACTCTCTTCTTTGTTAGGGGTAAGAGGGTGTCCATATCACTGATGGAGGAACAGAGAGGAAGGAGGCCCCCCTAGGCAACTTCTTGTGATGCTAAAAAAACCAATGCCTGCTCTCTGAGCATGACTTGATAGCTATCCTCAGGCTCCAAAGGTATATGGATGAATGAGAGGACCACCAGACTTAGAGCCAGAAAAAGCTTTAGAGGTGATCTAATCCAACCTCCTTATTTTACAAAGGAGGCAACTGAGGCCAAAGGTCACACAAGGAGCAGGTGGCAAAGCCAGGATTCGAACCCAGATCCCCTGACTCCAAATCCTGTGCATTTTCCAGGACATCAATATTAATGTCTCTCATTTGCTTCTTGCTTTATTAAACTCATTTTACCAGAGTCATTTCATTAAATACTTAACAATAACCTGGTGTACTGGGCTGGGAAGGTATGGCTAATCCCATTAACCACTTATTCATGGATGCATGGCTAAGTCTCCTGAAGGCAGTGTGGGACAATGGAAAGAGCAGTGGGCTTGGGACATGACGGCTCTGGGTTTGCTGCATGATCTCAGGCAAGTCGAGTTACATCTCTGGGTTTCATTTTCTACATCTGTCAAGTGAGAGGGTTGGTCTGGCTGGAGAAGCAATGTGATTGTTGTTACTGTTCAGTTGTTTTTCATTCATGTCCTACTCTTCGTCACCCCATTTGGGGTTTTCTTGGCAAAGATACCGAAGTGATTCACCATTTCCTTCTCCAGCTCATTTTACAGATGAGGAAACTGAGGCAAGCAGGGTTAAGTTAATTGCCCAGGGTCACACAGCTAGTAAGTGTCAGGCTGTATTTGAACTCAGGGAGAGGAGTCTTCCTTCCAGGCCCAGTACTTTGTGCACTGTGGTGCCACTTAGCTGCCCAAGCTGTGTAGTAGAAGAAAAATAATGTAAGGAGGCCAAATCTTCCCTCTACTCTTTACTCCCTTCCCCTCTCTGGGTCTCAGTTTCCACAACTGGAAAATGTGAAGGTCGGGTTAGAAGGCCTCTGAGGCCCCTTCTAGCTCTGAATTCTCTAGTTCCTAAGGTTACTTCCATCTCAAAGGAAAGAAACAAGCATTTATTGGGTGCTTACCATGTGCCAGGCACTGTGCTAATAAGCACTTTACCAATATTATCTCATTTGATCCTCACAACAACCCTGGGAAACAGGTGTTATTTATCCCATTTTATAGATGAAGAAACTGAGGCAGGGGTTAAGTGACTTGCACAAGGTCACAAAGCTAGTAAGTGCCTGAGGTTGGATTTGAACTCAACTCTTCCTAATTCTAAGACCTATCCACCAAGCATTCTGATCAGATGATTCTTAGTTCAGTATTCTCTTCACTACACTTAACTGACTTCACTGGGGAAGAAAAAGGAGAAATCTCAGTGGTGGCAGGACTTCAATTTCTGGATTCAAATTCTTGGTCCTGAACAGTACTTGACACCACAGAGTGAAAGTGAGGGGATTCATTTGGCTTTGACCACAACTTTCACTTAAATTTAGAGCTTCAAGGTTTAAAAAGCACTTTCCTTTGAGCTAAGAAGCATGAATATTATGATTATCCTCATTTTACAGATGGGGAAACTGAGGCTTAGATTTCTGAAGCCCAAGATCACTCAGCTGACCAGCTGACTTGGCTCCGCATTCAGGTCTCTGGATGCAACCTCAGGGTTTTGTCGTCCCTCTCTGTTTCTCTAAGTGCACACACTAAAAGTGTGTATTCATAAGCACTCACTGTAAACAGTGGGAGAGAAAAGGAATGGGGGGCTGAGGAACAAGGGTGACAAATCATCTGTGCTAACTTACCGGGGAGCCAACTTGTCCTGCCTCCCCTTTCTCTCCAGGTGTCCCAACATTTCCTTTTTCTCCTTTTAGCCCTGGAGGTCCATCCTTTCCTTGTGGGCCTTGGGGACCAGGGGGCCCGATCTCTCCTGGCTTTCCTCGAGGTCCCTAAAGCCAATGGAGGCAACTCTTGCTTATATGTACTAATGACTAGAAGAATAGTTTAACACATACATAGAACTTCAAAGCTTATAAAGCAGTTTACATGTATTACTTCACTGTATCCTCACAATAACTCTGTGAAGCAGCTGCTTTTGTGATCCCCATTTTACACATGAGGAAACTGAGGCTGAGAGAGGCTGAGCAGCCTTCTCTCAAGTTTCCAAATTTAGATCCACCTCTGGGAGTCTGGACCCACAGATTATTCTTGTCTCCTTAAGTTCGAAGTCATTTTTGGTGGTTTGGCGGGTGGCCATTATGTGAACCTGGAGATATGCTCTTACCTTTTCCCCATCATGTCCTGGAGGACCTGGCAGACCAATTTCCCCCTAAAGCAGAGAACAGTAAGAAGTCAGCCTATTCAAAGACTTTTTCACTCTTTTTTATTGAGACATGAGGACAAGTGTCCTGTGGTAGTAATCACCACAGATCAGCAAAGTTGGGGCTGCCATTTTGAATAGTTTTCAAGGTTTCCATAAAGAGTGGCTTGAGTTACTCCTGTCTCTGAGAGAAAAAGGGAACCGATAGGTGGGTTTCTGAGGTTAATTTGTAAGCTATTTTTAAAATAGCTGAAGTAGCTCCACTTTGTCTCAGATTCCACAAGAATATAATTGAAATCCAAAGGGGAAACGAATGGGAGGAGAGTCAAGACAAAAAGCCACAACGACACAGCAGCGACAGAGGAGGAAAATGACCGTCTGATAGGTGATGGAAGACTTCAGGTAATGGTGTGGGAGGGGCCACATGTGGGAGGGGTGAAGGGTGGAGTGGGACCTGGGAGAGTTACAGGACAGGCACGGAGCAAGAGAAGGAAGGCAGTTGCACTTAATGATATTCTGAGATCTCTGGGATTTTTGATGGAATTTCCCCCAGCACTGGAGAAATGCTTTACCTTTTGTCCGGGTGCACCAGGAGCTCCTGGGGGGCCCATTTGCCCTGGGAGTCCAGGAGGTCCCTAGGGGAAAAAAAGATGGATCTTGAAGTAGGATCTTTAGGTGAATTCTATTCTATCACATGAAGCACTTTTGAAATATCTGAATTCATAAATACTGGGTAGAAGAATCTGTAAGGCATAAGGTTTTTTCCATGAAAAATTAGGTCAATTCATGCTCCCTGACCACTGGTCTTTGGTCACTCCATTAGACAATGGATACTCAGTGATCACTGTGTGCCTGCCTTGATTTACAGTTGGAAAGATCTCACATGTCATCTAGTCCATCACTTCTTTTTTCTTTTTTTTTTTTTTTCAGTTTTTAAAAAATTTTTTGGCTACACAATGGGGTTAAGTAACTTGCCCAGGGTCACATAGCTAGTGAGTGTTACGTGTCTGAGGCTGGATTTGAACTCAGGTCCTCCTGACTCCAGGGCGGGTGCTCTATCCACTGTGCCACCTAGCTGCCCATAGTCCAGTGCTTCTTAAACTGTGGGTTGCCACCCCATATGGGGTTGAGACCCACAGTTTAAGAAGTGCTGATAGGGGTCACAAGTGGAAAAAGTTTAAGATGCCCTGATCTAGTCCAAATTCATCATTTTAGAGGTGAAGGAACTTTGACCTAGGGAGGCTAAATGACCAAGGCCATACAGCATCATAGGATCATAGAGGTCATTTAGTCTACCCTCCCCACTTTATAGCAGAGACAACTAAGGCCCATTGAGGTTATATGAGGCCCCTGGGCACATAGGTGACGCAACCTAGGATTTGAAACCAGATCTTTTGACTTTAAATCTGGTGTTCATTATGCTACAGCTGTTCATGTGGCATAGATGCATTTTAAAAAATCAGAGTGAATTGAAGTTAACTGGATTTTGTCTTCCTTCCTTCCTTACTCCCCTCCCTCCCTCTCTCCCTTCCTTCTTTCCTTCCTTCCCTCCATCTCTTTCTTTCTTTCTTTCTTTCTTTCTTTCTTTCTTTCTTTCTTTCTTTCTTTCTTTCTTTCTTTCTTTCTTTCTTTCTTTCTTCTTCCTTCCTTCCTTCCTTCCTTCCTTCCTCCTTCCTTCCTTCCTTCCTTCCTTTCTTTTTTCTTTTCTTTCTTTCTTTCTTTTTCTTTCTTTCTTTCTTTCTTTCTTTCTTTCTTTCTTTCTTTCTTTCTTTCTTTCTTTCTTTCCTCCTTGAGATAAATGAAGACCCCATGAGGTGGTTAATTAACATATGTTTATGTATAGTCTATTGTATACAATGCTCTGGTCTAAGTGTTGGAACTCAGAACTAAGGCCAAATGAGACCATACAGAAAGGAGGAAAGTCATGCAATCTTGCTGGGACTGAGGCCGGGACTTCTCTCCTCCTTTACCATATTACCTTTCTCCAAGTTACTAAGGGTAACGTCTCTCACTTGACCTCTAGAAAGTTAGAGCTGAAAGGGGCCTCAAAGATCATGGAGTTCACTCATCTCCTTTTCCCCTCCTCTTTGCCCTTCCCCCACATTTTACAGAAAAAGAGCATAGTGCTTGGAATTCATTTTTATGAGACCCAGTAATAAAAAGAAACATGATGATCTCCTGATGTAATTAGTAGCACCCTGGCCTTCATCATATCCCCAAACACGAGAGTTTGACATGGACCATTAAGTGATATGTCTATGGAACACCAGGTAGGGTAGGTCATGGCCATGGCCTTGGAGGCAGCCTTCTTGACTCCTGGCCTTATGGTCACATTGTCCTCTCCCTTTCTTGTGATCTGAGCCCCCCCCCATCACCATTTGATCAACCCTGAGTGTCACCTTCCTCTCCTTCCAAATTAGTTCTAGCTTCTCAAAGGTGAGAAAAAGAAGCCATGGGCGCCAGACCCTGCTCCCTGAGCCAACCCCTGGGCATCTCTGCCCATCCAAGGACAAAGAGGCAGCAAAGAATGGTCACTCACCATCAAGGCCAAAGTTCGGATCTCCTGTAAGGCAATCACCACAAAGTCAACAGTTTGGCAAATCAAGACTCATCTGAGAAATCTATCCAATCACAGCATGCCCACTGGTGGGGTAAGAGCCAGAATCTCTTAGGTTGGTTTGGTGGTGGGTCTGAGCTACCTTTACATTAAGACTTCAGGATGCAGATCTGAGATATCTCCTAAGCAGTCATAAATGGGAATATTTTACCCTTTACTCACTAATCTTTGGCAGGCATAGAATCATTGATCTAGCACTGCATGGGCCCTTACAGACCATCCAACCTTCTCATTTTACAGATGAAGAAAGTGAGGCTTAGAGGATTTAACACTTGCCCTGCATCATGTCACCAGTAAGTCTCAGAGGCGGGTCCCCTGACTCCAAATCTAGCATTCCATCTGTGGCATGTAGCTCCCATCTAGGAGGCACCCCTTCCCCCAAGCCTTCGGGTTTTTTTGTTAGAGTCCTCCAAATGCTGATGCCAAGCTCCTTTTGTTGGAGCTGAAAATCGCAGATGCCATTGCCTGTGGCAAGGATGATTCTCTTTCCTGTATTTGTGACCATGGCCTGTGTGGGCATTCACTTTGCTGGTCTGCCTATGCTTGAGCCTAATTCCAAGGTTTTAACACTTTTTCCCTTTTCTTTATTTATTTGGTGGAGGGGAGATGGGAAAGAGAAAAAAATGGATGCTTGTCAATCAAAAAGAAGTAATGAAATTTTAAATGTGATTCTCTATCCTCTCCACCACAGTCAGGGACTATAAGAGAAAGTATCAGGATTTTCCTCCTGATGCTGCAATTCATCATGGAAGTCAGTGTGGAGGAGTTGGGTGAAGGTAGCTGAGAGGACCAGAGTGGAAGCTTGGTTACCAAGGGTGTATAGAGCTTAAGCATTGATGGTTTCTTTGATCTGTGAATGTGTGTGTGTGTGTGTATGTGTGTGTGAGATAGAGAGAGAAGAGAGAGAGAGAGAGAGAGAGAGAGAGAGAGAGACAGAGAGAGAGACAGAGAGAGAGACAGAGAGAGACAGAGACAGAGAGAACAAGCTATGAATGGGACCTCAGGCTCATCTATTCCAACCCCCTCATTTTACAAATGATGAAACTGACTCTCAGAAAAGTTAAGTGACTTGCCTAAGCTAATACAAGTAGTAATAGTCACAGCTGGGATTTGAACCCAGGTCTTCTGTCAGAAAAAGTGTCTATCAGTACAAATAGTGAGTCAGTGGGCATGGCTGTCTTGGCGAGATTTTGATCCATCTCATTAAAGGATGAAAGAATTTTTTTTTTTGGTGAGGCAATTAGTGTTAAGTGACTTGCCCAGGAAAGAATTTCTTAATGTTTTTGGTCATCCAACCTTCTACCTCTTCTCTTCCCCTTCTTTCAGAACTCAGATTTCGAGGCACAAATGCCTGCCTTTACGCCAAGCCAGTAAAGGAAAGTCTGGACCTACAAAAACGATCATGAGATCTGGAAGGCACCTTAGGGACTATCAAATCCAATCTTTACATTTTTATCGATAAAGAGACTGAGGCCTGTGACTTTGTCCAAAGTCACCTTGGCATAAGTAGCATGGAAGGGATTTGAACCCAGGCTGCCTGATTCTAAAGTCAATGTTCTTTCTAGCACACCAAAAATTAGAAGAGTGATTGTTTTACAAAAGAGTTATTCTTAGAAAAGAATTAATATCTTTTACAGAAAAATTATAGGCATTGTTAGCATATTTAAAATACCACTTAATTTGCAAACAAAACACAACTGTTTGCAATGCCTCAGGCATATACCAGTCACCCTGTACTGAAGAAAACAGGGTCCTCTTATTTGTTTTAGTGCCACAGGGCACTAGGAAGTCTTCACTTATGCCCTTCTGTTGTATGATAGAATGCTTATAGATCAGTTGCATTCAGAGCAAGCCAGACCACCACAGTGATGTCTTGTTCAGTCTCCCCATTTTATGGAGGAGGAAATTGAGAGAAGACAAACAGCAGAGTTAAGACTTGAACATAGATCCTTTGAGCTGAAATCCAAGCCTCGTGCCCTGCTTGCCCCCTCCCCCCAACTGCCCAAGTCCATTGGGATGACTTGGAGCCACGGCCCTCCTGATGGGGAAGGAGGGATATGCAGGGAGCAGTAGCCTGGCAGCTGAGGAAATGTCCTGCCCAGACCTTTTATTACTGGTCATTTCCTTTTGCAGACAACCGTCATGGCCAGAAAGGTTTCCAGAGCCGTGATCTCTGACTCTGACCCCATTGGCACCTCTTAAGCCAGGGAAGAAGAGGGGCTTTGGAGGACAGAGGTCAGGGGAGCAGGGAATCCATTCAGGGTGAGTAGGGGAAAGAAGCAGAGATACTGGAGCCACCAAGACCTCTGACCTGGAGAGCTTCGTTGATGTTTCCATTGTAATCCACCATTTCTCCTTTGCCTGGCTCTCCCTTGGCACCCTGTAAAACAAACCAGACCCCCGATCAAGATGTCTGGAGCTGCCCACCCTGGGTCTTCACATGTGGGACATAAGAACCAAACTGCCTTCAGGCACTTGAGCCAGGCACCAGGGATGGTGTTTTCTGGGGCTGTCACATGTGACCAGGAATTTGCTATTCTAGCCTGGGAGACAAGAGGCTCCCTTCGAGGTAATTGTAGAGCTTCCAGAGGATTCTATGAGGGAATTCTGGAGCCCCCAGAGACTTGTAGGAGGAAATTCTGGAGCCTCCAGAGATGTTCCCTCAAGGCAATTCTAGAGGCCCCAGAAACTGCTACCAAGGAAGTCTGGAACTCTCAGAAAGGCTCCAGAGAGCATTCTGCTAGGGATTCTAGAATTCTCAGGGAGGCTCCTGTAAAGGAATTCTAGAGCCTCCAAGAGGATCCTGCTAGGGTAATCTAGAGCCTCCAGAGAGGCTCCTGGCAAGTGGACACTGAGACCAGCCATCTGCGTCTTCTTGCCCTTCCCAGCGCTGTGCCTTCTCCCCAGCATCTTCAAGAGTTAAAGCATGGGGGGGGGCGGAGGGCCGGGTTGAGAGCCCTCAGCAGGAGGCAATTGGTGGAAAGGTGTCCTCACCTTTGGACCAGCAGGTCCCTGGGCTCCAGGAGCTCCGATTTCTCCCTGTAACACAACCATGGATAGAGGGGCAGTCAGAGCATCAGGGGTGCCAGCCTGGTTGTGCCTGATGTCCTAGGGCATTATTGGGGGGACTTTACCCCAATAAGCCTGGATTTTATCTGTAAGGTGGGAAGGCAGGAGTGTCCTTCTCCAGTCCTCTGACTGGGTCACAGTCAGGTAGATGCCTTTGTGAAGGTTAAATATGCCAAGAGATGCTTCCTGCTTCTGGCTGTGTGACCCTGGGCAAGTCACTTAAACTGTCAGAGCCCTAGCCCACTCTTTAAGATACAAGATTCAGAGAACTTGCATTGTTAGAGGGAACTTCCTCACCAAGAATCCTCCACACTAATAAATCACAAATCTGGTTCAAAATACTACCCTCCCCCTGAAAAAACCCCAAACAAACCCCAAATCCAAACCAACTCAGCTAGCAGTCTACCACCAGTCAGGCTGAAACATGCACCAATGAAGCAAGAATCAGATGAATGAAAAGCTCCGATTTCAGTGTTTTATCCCCATGATATCACTTGGCCAACACGACAATCTGTGAGGTCTGTAGTCTTTGGTGAGCCATACAGAACTGTCCTAATTGGGGAAAGGCCCAGGTCCAGGGCCTTCATCTTTGGCCTAGGTCTTGGGCAAGAAAGCTTCCCCTCCCCACCCTGTGGCTAGAGTCGCTCAGATGACCGCGTAATGACAGTTCCCAGAGGCCAGAATCCTCTGTACCTTGTCTCCTTGGCTCCCAGGAGGCCCAGTCTGGCCACTGGTGCCAGCTTCTCCCTGGAAAAAAATAAGAATATTGTAAGAGGAGACAGAGTAGCTTGGGGTGCTGAGTGGGATATCCTTGGTTTAAGGTCAGGGAAAGTTCCTTTATGCATAAATTTAGAATCATAAGTGTATAGATTTAGAGCTACAAGAGACATTAGAGATAATCTGGTCCTACCCCCTCATTTTACAGATGAAGAAACTGAGGCACAGAGGGGTTGGTTACAGGGACTTACCCAGAGTCACATAGCTAGTAAGTGACTGAGGTGGGATTTGAATCCAGGTCTTCCTGACTCAAAGTCCTGCGCTCTTTCTACTATTCAACACTGCCTCACAGAACATACTCTAGTGTTCCTGTGTTTGTGTCTTACTTTCCTACTATGCTCTTAAACACCACAAGAGAAAGGATCACGCCTCATCTCAATTACTGACCTCAGCACCTGGTATGTTGGTCTGGACAGAATAAATACTTCAAAAATATTTGCCAAATGAATGAATGAGAAGAAAGAAATTGACCCTCCGGGTGATAAAGCAGTGGTGTGGGTGACTGCAGGAGGCTGTGTGGCTCTTATTTTGGGTACCTCATTTCCCCTTTCTGGGCCTCAGATTCCTTTTTTGGGAAATGAAGGAACTGGACTGAATGATGTCTAAGGTTCCTTCTGCTGTTTGAATTGCACAGTTCTCTGAAAGAAGAAACTACTTGAACTGGAAGCACTTTCAGGGTCTTTGCATGTCTCAGGTTGTCAGATTTATTGAGAAAAGGACAGGGGAAGGCCAGAGAGGAAAGGGCAACCTCTCTAGGAGTGGAGCCACAGACAGAGGCTGAGGGAAAAGTGGCCCTTCGGAGGGTCTGTTCTTCATGGGAAAACTCACCTTTGGTCCTGGTGGTCCCGGTATCCCGGGGGCCCTGGCTCCCCTCGGCCTCCTCCAATGGCATTGCCTGCATCTCCTTTCTCTCCCTGTTGAAGATGCAGAGTTATCCAGGGTCCAGAATGTCACAGGATAACGAGGGAGCAGAGGATGGGAAGGGGTGGGGAGGAAAGGGTGTGGGGAGGACAATGAGCTCTAGTTCAACAGCGCAGGCTTTTACATGGACATAGGGTTTGTGTGCCTTGCCTACCATGTGGGGCTGGAGGGAAGGAAAATTTGAGAGAGCAATGAAGCAGCTGAGAATAAAGAGTTAGGCTTGGAGGAATGAATCCTCATCAGAAGGTGGGTCTACAAACACTGGACCAGGAAGTGGCTGCAGATTTGTCTCTATGAACTTGGGTAACCCCCATCCAGGCAGGGATCTGTCCACAGTCCCCATGATAGTTCCTAAATTTTCTGACCCTAGCATTTCTTTTGCTCAGAACCCTTCACTGTCTCCCAATAGCCTCTAAGCTAAAATTCAAACTCATTAGTCCAGCATTTAATACACTGACTTTCTCCACCTTATTTCAAATTTCTCCTATTTATATATTTTATCTTCCATACAAATTACACAGCTCACCGTTCAACCTCAGACTCCCCTTTCCCATCTTCATGCCTTTTTCCCCTTCTCCATAGAAAGAGGACACTTCCTTTGCTCTCTGTTTGTTGAAATCTTTTTCTTCCTCTGATGCCCAGCCCAGGCATGACCTCAGTCATTTCTCTCCGATTCCTGCAGCTGAAAGGAATCTCTCCTCCCTCAGTTTTTCCTCAAATTTTCTACCTTGATGTTTCCTTTGCCCACATTCTACCATGTATTATGCTCATCTGCACATGTCCTATTCCCCTCTTTAGGGTATAAGAAGTTAGGAACTGGGTTGTGGTTGTATTTTTAAAAATCACTTTAATTTAATAACTTACATCTTAATTGCCAAGTCTTACGGCATTTTCTCAGTCCTCACCCTGTTTGACCTCTCTGCTGCATTTGACACTGTTGATCACCTTCTCTGTCTGGATGCTCTTTCCTCTCTGTATTTTCATATTTCTCTTTCCTAATTCTCCTACCTGTCTGACCTCTTCTCAGTCTTTTTTGCTGGCTCTTCATCAATACCATGCTCGGTAACCACAGGTGCTCCCCAAGATTCTGTCCTGGGCCCCCTTCTCTTATTTCTCTTCAATCTCTGTGACCTCATTAGATTCCATGGGCATAATGATCACCTCTATGCTGCTAATCTATCTACCTATGTATCTATCTATGGATCTATCTATCTATCATCGAGCTATATCTATCTGCTTATCTATCTATCACCCATCCACCTAGCTATGTATCTGCCTGTCTGCCTATCTATCTATCTATCTATCTATCTATCTATCTATCTATCTATCTATCTATCCATCCATCCATCCATCCATCCATCCATCCATCCATCCATCCTTTCATCCATCCATCCATCTATCCATCTATCCATCCATCCCTCTATCCATTTAAATCTACACCCATATATACGTTTACATACACACATATGTGTGTATATCTATAGCTACATCTTCAGTCCTAGTCTCTCCCATGAACTTCAGTTCCATATCATAAACTCAGCATGTACAAAGCAGAACTCATATCTTTCTCCACAAATTCTCCCCTCTTCCAAACCCCACTATTTCTGTCAAAGACAACACAGCTCTTCTAGCCTCTGGTTTACAACCTTCAAGTTTTCCCAGACTCCTCAGTCTTCCTAAACCCACATGTTTAAGTGGTTGCTAATTCTTGCTGTTTCCACCTTTATAGCATCTTTTTGCGTCCAACCCCTTCTCCCCATTCACACAGTTATGATCTTAGTTTAGGTTCTCATTGCCTCTTGCCTGGATTCTTTCAATAGCCTCCAAAGTGGCTTTCCTTGCCTTAGTCTCCAACTCCTCCCTCCATCCTAAACACAGTTACCAAAGAGATTTTCCTTAAGAGCAGATATGACCATGTCACTGTCATATGCAGTAAACTACAGTGGCTCCTCCCAAAAAGTATGAGTGTACACATATGTACACATGTACATATACAGATGTATGTGCACGTACATACGTGCACGCATATATGTCAGATATATATATATATGTATTTCCCCCCTTCGTTTAGTTTCTAGAGCCCTTCACAACCTGGTCGCAGCTTATCTTCCTCATCTCATTATACATCACCCCCCCCCCCAAACTCTTCCAGCTAGCCACACTGGCCATCATGAATGGTCTTCCTCATGAATGACACACATGCCATCTCCTGTCTCTCTGACTTTTTTCTGCCTGCCTGCTATGTCTGAATGTGCCTGTCCTCACCTCCACCTCAAGGAATCCCTCTTCTTCCTTCAGGGCTCAGCTCAAGGAGCACCTTCTGCCACCCCACCGCCCACCCCAGGGTCCTCCCTCCCTAGTTGGGTCCTATCTAATTACTTTGGATTCCTTCTTTTCAGGTTTATTCTCTATACACTTCTGTGTGCATTTGTTGTCTCTCCCAGGAGAACTCGAGCTCCTTCCAAGCAGACATTGTTTCATTTATTATATTTCTACCCCTAGCATGGGTGCCTGGAGGACTTAAGCACGCACTTAATAAATACTTGTTAATGATTGAATGATTTTTTTCATTGTTGTATCCCTAGGGCCCAAGACAAGGCTTGGCACATAGTACTTAATAAAAGCTTGTTGAATTAAATGGTTTTCCCAGTTCTCTGCTATTCCCTGCTTCGTTGAACAGATTATAGAATTAAGCTCCCCCTTCCAGCCCTCCTGACCTGGCAGAACACCACCCAATAATGTCCATGTCTCCTGGGGATGATGGACAATCAACCAATTGATCAACAAGCATGCATCAAGAGCCTACTTCTTGTCAGCACCGAGCTAGGCAAGAGCCTGCCCATCAGAAGCTGTTACAGACCTTCTGGCCCAGGAATCCAGGCAGGCCGGGGCTGCCGGCGCTCCCCTTCTCACCCTGGAGGAGAAACACAGGTGGGTTAGGAGGTTGAGGGAAGACATGTTTTACCCAGAGATTCCTCTGGAAGGATGCGACTTGTCCTCTCCATAAGCCGCTAAGGCCTCATCCTCTAAACTCCGACTCCGTTGTTCTGGTTGACCTTTGACCTCTGGCTGCCAGCTGAGCCATGATCCCAACACTCATGACTCCCAGCTCAAACATCATGGGCCATAGCATTGGTGAATAGTGACTCCCCTGCCAACCCAGCATGAGATACCATTTGTGCTGGTGAAGAGCAAACCTCATCTATTCTATCATTTGGGCCTCTTCTGAGCAAAGATGGTGTGATGGAAATGCACTGGAATCACAAGGCCTGGGTTCAAATTCTGCTATCCATGTGACATTGGGGCAGTCACTTAGCCTCTCTGGGCCTCAGTTTCCTTATCTGTAAAATGAGTGACTTGGGCTATACTGCTTCTGAGGGACCCTCTAGTTTTGATTTTTATGATCCCTTGCCTGGGGCTTGGTGCCAAGGAGATGAAGTGGGAGCTCTCACTGCCAATATCTTGGCTCAGAGAAGAACATACCACGTTCTAGGGAAGACCCCCAGGGGCTCTTGATGCCCACTGCATTAAATAGTCTTTTCTGAGAGCATATAGGCACTCAGAAAAGTAGGATTCTAGGTAACAATAACAATTTCTACATCTTGACTCCCATTTCCATAATCAGTGAACAAACAGGTATTAAGCACCTACTATGTGTTAGGCACTGTGCTAGGTGATGGGGGGGAGGGTACAAATACCTAAGAGGGATAGTCCCTGCACTCAAGGGGCTTCCATTCTACTGGAATTCTATAATGCTTTAAGACTTGGAAAAGTTTAGCCTACAGATTCCCTGAGATGCGTTCTAGGGGTTGTTGTTTTCATTTTACAGATGAAGAAACTGAGGCTCAGAGGGGGCTGTCCCTTGCCCATGATTGTACAACTAGAAACCCAGGTCTTCTACATCCCATATTTCCAACACTCTACATTGCCAATAAAACCCGCCACACTCAAGGATTTCTCCCCATTCTCTCCCATGCCTGCCCAAAGTGAATTTCTCAGCCCCTCTACCGCTAAAATGCACAAAGGTCAATGAAAAGGGAATTTGCCTTATGCAAGTCTGAGAGTGAGACACAGGGAGGGGAGAGAGGAGACCATGGATGGCAATGTCCGAGGGCATGGAAGGACACACTGTTTCCTCCTGCCTTCTGATTCCCCCTAGGCAATAAATAGCTCCTAAGGAAGTCAGGTAATGCCAGGCAGGGACACGAAGGGCATCTCTGGTGTCAGCACTAGGAGGCTTTGCCAAGCTTGTCTCTCACTTCCCCTTCCTGGGGCTGCATGCACACACACACACACACACACACACACACACACACACACACACACACACACACGGAGGTCACATCCAAGTCCAGGGTGGGGAGGGAGGCACACGCAGAAGGGAACACAAGGGGAACAAACCACACACAGTGTCCTACCCTCTGCCCCCTCTTCCCTGGCAAACCTGGGGGCCCTGGCATTCCCGAAGCTCCAGACTCTCCCTTTGAGGCAAGGCAAGAAGACAGAGTCACTGATGAGAAGACAGAGGAGGTGTCCCACCCCCAGCCCCAAGGACTCAAAATCCTAGCATCTAAGAGCTGGAGGAGACCTCAGAAGGCCCCTGGGCCAAGCCCACTAGCTTAGCAGTAATTCTCTCCTTAGTGTTCCTGGTAAGAGATCAGTCAGTCTCTGTCTGACAGCCCCCAGTGATGGAAACCGAGACTTCCTATGGCTGCTCATTCTATCATCTCCAAGTTTCTCCTCCAACACTAAGTCTAGATCTTCCTTCCTTCAGCAACCATCCATGGGTTTTATTTCTACTCTCAGGACCAAGCTGAAGACTTGGAATCTTTTCTCTCCTTCACGGATTTTCAAATATTTGAAGGCAGCTGCTGGGTCTCCTTTGGTCTTTTCTGAGTCAAACAGCCCTGGTTCCTCCAACTGACTTCTCCCTTCCCTCCCTACTTTTCAGTTCCTTTTTTGTGTTGTTTTCCTCAATTAGAATGTAAGCTCCTTGAGGGCAGGGATTGTCTTTATGCTTGTTAGCATAAAGCAGTTAGCCTAGTGCCTACCACATACTAGTAAGTGCTTAATCCTTTTCTCCCTCTGTCTTTCCTTCCCTCTCTCCCTCCCTTCCTTCCTCCCTGTCTTCCTGCCTTCCTCACACTGGTCCCCTTTTCCTGGATGCGGCTTACTTCATCAAAGTCCTTAACATCTGACACCAAAAATGTAATGCCCTCCTCCAGATGTGGTCTGACCAAGATGGATAACATTCTGTTATCATTTTCCTCATGCTGGGCACTATGCCTCTAGTTGTGCAGTCAAAGGTCATGTTAGGGTCTGGGTTTTGTTTTGTTTTGTTTTATGCAGTGAAAGATGGCAGTGGGCATGATGGATATTGTTTTGGACTTGAAGCCTCATAGCCTTACTCTCCATGTGACCTTGGGTCACTTAGCTCCTCTGGACCACAGTTTCCCCAACTTTAAAAAGGACTTAGATTCTAAGGTTTCTTCTGATCTCCAACAGTGATCCTACGACTCTTTAAGCTTGTAACCTGCTAATACCCATTTCCATGGATAACAAGGGGCAGGAGATCTCCAGCTGAAGGGGATTCAGAAAAGACTGAACAGAGACCAACCGGATGTGGCAAACTGAAAGATCTTTTGGACCCTGGAGCTTGGTACAGTGTACAAAGGACTGGGTTTGGAGTCAGGGGCCCTGTGGTTCAATCCACCATTTAGTTAGTAGCTGTATGATGTTAGACAAACCACTTCCCTTCTTCTGGGTCTCAGTTTCTTCCTTTACAAAGTGAGTTTGTAGGAGAACAAAGGACAAACCTCGAGGGCTCTAAATCCTAAGGCAATCCACCTTAGGTCACCTTTCCATTTATTCTGTGTTTGTCTTGTCTATTCAGATAGGTGGCATTCCTCATTAGAAAGTAAATTCCTTGAGGTAACTCTTTTTTGAGCTTGGAGCAGTCCCTGGCCCATAGTAACAATTTCAGAAATGCTTGTGAATGGGTTATGTGAACCTGTTTCCAATTCAGACACTGCCTCCTGCACCTGGCCCTTTCTGCTCCAGGATCCACGTGCCTAACTCTACACTGTGACTTGTTCTCGCTGTATTTTGGACCCCTGACCACCCAGGACTATTTTGGCAGCATAGCTAAACCAGGAAGGGTACCCCCAAGCTAGGCAGACTCTTCTCAATTTGCGACAGTCAATCCAAGCCCCTTAGAAACAATCTAATCCAGGGATTCTTAACTAGGGGTCAGTGGACACCCAAGGCATCTGTGAATAGATTTCAAGTGGTCTGTGAACCTGAACTGGAAAAAAAAATCACATGTTTATTTCAGTACAATTGCATAATTCGGAGAAGGGGTCCACAGGTTTCACTAAAGAGATCTCACACACACACATCCTCTGTTCTAATCCAACCCTCTCATTCTACAGCGATAAAGGAAGCTAAGTTTTGGAGAATGACTTCTCTCGAGTCATACCCAGGTAGTAAGTAGCTGAGGCTGGATTAGAAGCCAGGTCCTCTGACTCCAAATCTGGTGCTCCAGAAGGGAGGAAAGCAAGAGGGAATAAAACCTGCTTCAGGGATAATTGGGATTATTTTTGAGTTCTTATACCCAAATGCTACTCCTAGTAGGGTCACACGCAGGGACTGGGTTGAGAGTAGGAGATGTGGTGGAGAGAATAGTGGAAGGAGGAAGCATCCACCAGGATGATGTGCTGGAGGCAATGTGCGACCAGATCAGTGGCAGTTAGACCCGAGGGAGGGTTTGCAGGAGATGAGGTAGAAAGATGGGTATCTGCTGTCCAGCAGCAAACACCAGGCGCCTTTCCTGGGGAGGTCCAGAGCTACAGAGCTGGGCATCTTTTGCCACCAGTGCCCACCCAGACCCACCCAGATACTTGGAAAGGACAAGAAAGCCCAGAGCAATTGTAGTCGTGGGGGGCAGCCCTGTCAGGGAAGCTTGAACTGGCCATGGCAATACCTTGGCTCACCTGTGATCAGGAAAGATGGGAAAACAAGGAATGAAGGAAAAAAGGGAAAGACATTCAGAGACATATGTAGAGAATGTCCCGGCCTTTCAGAGCAGTGCTCAGGGAGAGTCACTGGATCATCTTGGAATCACCAATACCTGAGTTCAAATTCTGACTCTGACACATACCTCCTATGTGACCGTGGACAAACATCTCAACCCCTCACTGCCTGTGGACTCTCCTAAGGCTACAAGTTACAGATGAAGTATGCATCTGCATCCCCCAGAAGCCTCCTTGCCTTGGCTGAATGCTTTCCAAAATGGGAAAATAACCCTGATGTAACTCACCCTTACTGCCTTCCAGCATTTCCTTCCCTATTATGGAGCCCTAGTCCTCCTTGAGGGGCAGGCAGATGACCACATCCTAGACTTTGAGTTGGAATGGACAGCTGAGATCTTCCCGTCCCAAGTCTTTCATCACACAGAGGAGGGATCTGATGCTCTCCAAAGCAATGCAACTGGCCCCAATTCGCACATGTGATAACTCGTGTCCTCTGATCCCACAGGCAGCAGCATCCTTTTTGTGGTACCATGAGGAGGCCTGGGATCCCTGGGGGAGGTTCTAGCCTGGTTAGGAGTCAGCTAGATTAGAGAGGAGAGGGTGTGTATGGGGGAAGGCGGGAGGTGCGAGGCCTATTTAGATCAAGTTATGTTGAATGAGAGAACATAGGTAAGCATGTGGGAAACCTTAAGGCACAAGTGCTCACTATCATCTTTGTGAGTTCAGTCTGGCTGTGTGACCCTGGACAAGTCACTTCACCCTGTTTGCCTCAGTTTCCTCATCTGTAAAACGAGCTGGAGAAGGAAATGGCAAACCCCTCTAGTATCTTTGCCAAGAAAACCCCAGATGGGGTCAAGGAGAGTCGGACATGACCGAAACTACTAAATAACAGCCATAGCACGTATATAGTGCTTCAAAGGTTTGCAAAGTGTTTTACAAATATAATCTCATTTGATCCTCACAACAGCCCTGAGAAGTAGGTGCCTATTAACCCTATTTTTACAGATGAAGATACTGAGGCAGAAAAACCAAGTGACTAGCTCAGGGTCACACAGGTAGCATGCTTCTGAGGCTGGATTTGAATTCAGGTCTTTCTGACTCCAGGACCAGTGCACTGTGGAGCCCCCTAGCTGCAGTGTGCTTCTTCCTCAACCAGACTGGGAGGCTGGTAGAACAAGAGCTATCATTCCCATTTTACTGATGAGGAAACTGAGGCACAGAATGGGAACATGGGAAAGCCAAAGATCACCCAGGAAGTAAGGGGCTTGGATTTGAGTTCATTCACGCCTTTTCTCCTTGACCACACTGTCCTAGTGCTGCCCCTGATCCTACCCCTCCCAGATTAAGTTTTGAAGTCAAACTGACCTTCATCCCCAAGGCAGCTGTCCCTGGAGCCCCCTGACAGAGAGAAAAGACAAGGACATTTATGGGAGGAAGGAGAAAGACAAGTAAGAAAGCATAGTACACTCACACCATGCATGTGCCTCCTGAAGCCCTGTCTCTTCTGGGGTCCCTGCAGCAGGCCAGGGCTGGGGGCGGGGCTAGGTTCCCTGTGCTTGCGGTCCACTTGTGAAAAGCCAGGCAAGGCTTCTGGAGAGCCCCCTGGCTTTCCCTGTGCCCCAGCTCGAGGCCCCACAGAGTCCCTGGGGTGGGGGTGTCTCTTAGGTCTCAGGGTGATTCCCAGGTTGGGCAAGGGAATCCCAGGGAGGGATTCAGGGCAGAGGAGAGAAGACTACTGGTCAGCCAGAGAGCCACAACTCCTTCTCAGATGGATTGCCTGGACTCTGGGGTTGAAAGGAAGAAGGCTAGGAAAAATGATCAAGCCAGATCTTTAGGGATTTCCTCAGAGGTCAAGCAAGGGAAGTGGAGGGCTGAGAGCAAGGTGGACCCTTCAGGGAGAAGGCTGTCAGGAAGAGATAAGAATGACTAGCTCCAGTTTCTAGCAGGCTTTAGGACACATGAGGTGATTTCCTTACAATACATCTGAGGGAGATGCAACAGTTATGATTATGTCTATTTTACAGATAAAGAAACCGAGGCACAGAAATGAGAATGTGACCCACCCACAGACACACACAGCAAGCTACGGTCAGAGCTGGGATCAGGTAGGGAGGGAGACAGAGAAAAAATGCAGGGAAGTCAGCAGAGCTCAGTCCATTCTCCTGAAAGGTACCTTGGGTCCCGGCCTTCCTGGCATCCCGGGCATGCCCCTCTCCCCCTGAAGTGAGAAATGAGAAATGAGAGTGAGAATAGAGGTATGAGCCCTAGGCACCAAGGTCCACCAGGAGCATGAGGCCCTGCCCAGGACAAGCTAGAGAGAGCCAGGGCCAGTCCCTTATAGAAACCATGATCTTAAGAAGAATTCACATTTTTATGGAGACTAAAGTTTGCAGAGCACTTTCCTCCTGGTCCTGCAACGTAGGATGGCCAAGTGTTATCATACCCACTTTACAGGTGAGTAAGTTGAGGCTCAGAGGTAGCATAGCTAGGAAGAGCTGAAATCAGAATTTGATGCCAGATCCCATCTCAAGACCCTTTCCTCTACACCCTGTGTGATTGAGAGGCTTGTCTGGCCCCAGATCGACTCCCAGGGTGTGGATTATGGCACAGTCTCCAGAAAAATCTGTTACACTTCAAGAAGAGGAATGATCCTAGGATCTTAGTGCAGAGCTGGAAGGACTCAGGAGCCAATCCAGTCCATCCCCCTAATTTTACAGATGAGGAAACTGAGGCTCAGAATAGTAAATGACAGTGTCCTTTCCACTGTGTGAAGGGAAACGAACAGGGACTGGAGGCAAGCTGCTAATCCTACAATTTGTCCTGAAATTTAATGCCACCCAAGCCCTCCCTCAAACCACCATAGTGCTGTCACATTTTTAAAAAACTATCCTTTAAAAAAAATGCTGAGAGGATAAGGCAGGTGTTAGAATGCCTATTGCACAGATAAGAAAACTAGTTTGGAAAGGCCAGCTAATATGGTCAGGATTTGAATCCATCTCATTTTTGTTTTCACCTCACAGCCTGGCACATAGTAGGCACTTTAAGATGAAACCCCATCTATCACTGCTCCAGCTAGGGCAGGAGCATGGAGGAACAAGGCCATCATTCTTTGGACAGGAAGCCCTGGGGGCCTGACCCCCAATTTCACAACTTCAAGCTAAGCCAATCTGCCTGTCATTACTGCCTGTTTCCTGAAGGCCAGAGTCACCAAATGGTGATTCTGCAGCTGGTTCCTGCCTCCTCTCCCCTTCATTTCTGGCCCCTCAAGACAATGGCAAGGTCAGCAGGGTCTGTGGGGGGAATTAAAACATGACCCTTGAATAGCTTTCATTTAGTCTCCATGACCTCTTCACTCCTACTTGCCTCTGGAATCAGCCTCTCATTCTGGAAATGACCAAGTTCCTCTAAACCCACATCTCAAAATTCCCTCTGGGCAGGGCAGCAGGAAGGAGGGAGATTTCCTAGCTTGACTTTGGTTGCCTCCAAAAATCCTTCCTTCATCTCTCTGATAAGGGCCTTATTTCTAAAATATAGAGAGAATTAAGTTCAATTTATAAGAATACAGGTCATTCCCCAATTGATAAATGGTCAAAGGACATGAACAGGCAGTTCTCAGGTGAAGAAATTAAAGCCATCCATAGTCATATGAAAAAATGCTCTAAATCACTATTGATTAGAGAAATACAAATCAAAACAACTCTGAGGTACCACACCACACCTATCAGACTGGCCTGGGAATCAGGAAGAACTGAGTTCAAATCCTGCCTGTAATTGTGTAACTTTGTGACCCTGAGCAAGTCACTTAAATAACTCTTGGTGCTTTCTAATGCATTGTTGGTGGAGTTGTGAAATGATCCAACCATTTTGGAGAGCAATGTGGAACTATGCCCAAAGGACTATAAAAATGTGCATACCCTTTGACCCAGCAATAGCACTTCTAGGGCTATATCCCAAAGAGATCAAAGAAATGGGAAAAGGACCCACATGTACAAAAATATTCGTAGCAGCTCTTTTTGTGGTGGCAAAGAATTGGAAATTGAGAGGATGCCCATCAATTGGGGAATGGCTGAGCAAGTTGTGGTATATGAATGTAATGGAATACTATCGTGTTATAAGAAATGATGAGCAAGAAGACTTCAGAAAAAACCTGGAAAGACTTGTACGGACCGATGCTGAGTGAAGTGAGCAGAACCAGGAGAACGTTATACACAGTAATAGCCATGTTGTATGATGACTAATATTGATAGACTTAATCCTTCTCAGCAATACAAGGATCTAAGACATCTCCAAAGGCCTCATGATGGAAAATGCTATCCACATCCAAAGAAAGAACTATGGAGTTTGAATGAAGATGGAAGCATACTATTTGCTATTTTTTTTTCTTCTGTTGGGTTTTGTTTCCTCTTTCTGGTGGTTCCTCCTATTGGTTCTAATTCTTACTTACAACATCATTAATGTGAAAATATGTTTAATAGGAATGTATATGTATAGCCTATATCAGATTGTGCACTATCTTGGGGAGTGTGGTGACGAGGAAGGGAAAGAAAAATTTTAAACTCAAAAGCATATGGAAGTGATTGTTGGTGAATCAAAATAAATTAATTAAAAAACCCCCCAAAACAAAAATCCTTCCTTCTTCCAAAAAAATGCTTAGGAAATAATTTGCTTAAAGCACAGGTGTGACCTGATGCTTCCTCTCTTAAGAACCTTCAGTGGCTCACTATTACCTATGGTCCAGTGGATAAAGCACTGGGCCTGGAGCCAGAAAGACTCATCTTCCTGAATTCAAATCTGGCCTCAGACAGTTACTAGCTGTGTCAACCTGGGCAAGTCACTTCACCCTGTTTGCCTCATTTGTAAAATGAGCTGGAGAAGGAAATGGCAAACCTTCCAGTATCTCTGCCAAGAAAGCCCCAGGTAGGGTCACAAAGAATCGCACACGACTGAAACAATCAAACAACAACAAAATATGCTTTAGTGTGGTGTTCAAGGCCCTTCTGAAGTCTCTATTCTCCATGTATTCTACATTCAGGAAAATCCAATAATCTATAAACATTTATTAAATACCTACTATGTGTCAGGTACTGTACTAAGCACTGGGGATATAAATAACAAAAAGAAAGACGTCTGGACAGTTCACTGGCCCTTGATCTCAACCTCAATCCAATCTCCGAGCTTTTGGGTAGGGTATTCTTCTAGAAGGTGGAATGTATGAAGTACAAGACTTGGAGGCAGGAAGACCTGAGTTCAAATACTGCCTCAGATATTCCCCATTCTGTGTAACCCTGAGCAAGTCACTTAACTCCTCTGTGCCTCAGTTTCCTCATCTGTAAAATTGTGATAAAGTCATGTATCCTAACTTACAAGATTGTTTCAAGGCTTAAAATATTTAAAGTACTTTGCAAAGTTTAAAGTACTATATAAGTGCTATTATTATTGTTATTATTAATATTATTACTCTCCAGTGCCTGAAACCCACCTCGGACTCATCTGTGTCTATGGAAATCATGACTCTCCTGGAATTAGGAAGACCTGAATTCAAATCTTGCCTCAGACATTTACTAGCTGTGTGACCCTGGGCAAATCACTTAACCTCTGTCTGCCTCAGATTCCTCAGCTGTAAAATGGGGATAATAACCTCCCAGGGTTGCTGTGGGGATCAAACGAGATGATACCTGTACAGTGTGTGGCACATAGTAGGCATTTAATAAATGTTTGTTTCCTTCCTCCCTCCAGTTCAGGCCACCCTCATGAAGAAGTCTCTTCTGAAGTCCACAGCTGAAAAGTAACCTTTCACTTTCTTTCCCCCCCTATTTTAACCCCTCTCCTTTAGCCTATGTTCTGTCAGGCTTTTTCCGTGTTCAGGTGGTATCCCCTCACAGTAAGCTCTTTATTTTGTTTTTGTTTGTTTGGGCTTTTTGTCTGTTGGTTTTGGTATAGGAAACTCTTCAGTGAGGAAAATCTCTTTTCTGATGCAGATTGCCAGAGACTTTGCAACTTAAGAATCCTGGAGTGTGTCTTGGGGACGCTGAGAAATAAACTGACCCCACAAAATGCATCAGAGGCAGGTCTCGAACCCAGGTCTTCCTGACTTTGAGGCTAGCTCTCCTTCTTACCCCAGACAGGTTGCTTCCTATTATTATTGTCAAAACTATTATTATTCTGGCTAATGCCAATAAGAGCTGACTTACAAAGTGCTTTAAGCTTTGCAGAGGGTTTTGCATACGTTATCTCTTTCAATTTTCATACAATGTTGCTGTGAATAGCTACCAAGTGTCTGAGAGTTTCTTTAAGGCTGAGAGCTGTATCTTGTTTCATCTTTGCTGCTCTGGAGCCCAGCCCAGGGTGCTGCGGATGTTTGCTAAATGTTTGCTGAGGTGATTTGGGGCCAGATGTACCTTGGGAGGGTACTAGAAGGCTCAGAAAGAGCCGTCCTCAGTTGTGCCTTTGAGATCCACCTGCAGGCTGTAAATAAGGTTGGTCCCACTCACTGCCTCCTCATCCTTAGCCAATGTTTCCCCAGCCCTTCTCTGCTCTCAGGACTCTGGGGATGGTCCGTCTATCTACCTGGGAGGGGAGCTGGGAATGAGCAAATGTGGTCCCATTTGCCTGCAGTGGCCAGCAGGGGGAAGCACAGGACCTTGGTTGGAGACCCCATTATCCTTGGAGAAGGTCTGGCCGCAGGCTCTCCCCCTCAACCTTTCCCACTCCCCAATCCTACTTCCCTTCCACCTCTTGCTCAGCTAGCGCCAGACCGGTGGCCTTTTGCTGGGGTAAATGTGGCTCTTCCTAGCACTGCCCCATGAGGTCCTTGGTCCAGTGGGAAGCCAGGTCACCAGGCTCCCTGAACAGTCTGGATGGCCCTTCTCTCATAGGCATACCCTGAAGACCTTTCAGCTCTATGGGGTTCCCTGAAAGACCACTGCAAACTTATTCTCCCCTCCCCTGGGAGATCACAGAGAAAACATCCCAAGATGGGGGCAGACAACTGCCTAATCAACTCGACTGCTTCCGTTCTAATCTAAGATCACAACATCCTGGAATCCTGGGGCTAGAGCTGAGAGGGCTCGCAGGGGCCAGTGAGTCCAACCTCCTCATTCTACAGATGAGGCAACTGAGGCTCATAAGGTAACATAACATGCCCAAGGTCACACAGGTGGAATCTGAACTCAGATCCTTTACCTCCAGAGAGAGTATTCTCTCTAGAGTACCAAGCAA